TTTTTTGTAGAGTCTCTTCCTCAGCCTGGTCTCCAATTCCTGGCCCCGAGCGATCTTCCCACCTTGGCTTCCAAAAGTGACTTAGAAAAGCTCTTTCTTACTTCCCAAGTTATCTCCTTCCCTCAGCAACATTTGCCGTAGCTCTGATGTAGAAACCTCTGATCAGGCAGTTGGAAAGAGCTGTTGGTGTCCATTCCAGGGAAGTTAGACATGGCCCAGTGCTTTCCTGATGCCTTTTTCTTTTTTTCTGAGAGAGGGTCTCGCTCTGTCACCCAGGCTGGAGTGCAGTGGCCTGATCATAGCTCACTGCAGCCTCCAACTCCTGGGCTCAATCAGTCTTCCCATCTCAGCCTCCTGAGTAGCTAGGGCTACAGGTACATATCACCATGCCCAGCTAATTTTTAAATTTTTTGTGGAGACGTGGTCTTGCTGTGTTGCACAGGCTGATATCAAACTCCTGGCCTCAAGTGATCCTCCCGCCTCGGCCTCCCAAACTGCTGGGATTACAGGTGTGAGCCACTGCGCCCAGCCTCCTGATGCCTTTTGAGTGTGAGTCCAGTCCCAGTTCTGCCATGTACTTGCCTTGCTGTGTGACTGAGCCAGGTTTCGTCACCTGCAGACGGTGGGCCAGCCTGCCAGGAGGGCTGGGCACGCTCGAGGTGACGATGGTACAAGCCCCATGGGGAACTCCAAGGGGAAGGCAGAAGTGCAAGGATCATCAAGTGAGCACTTCTCCAGGCTATGTTTTTGCGTCAGCATGTTTTTCTAAGTAGGAATTCAGATGGGGATGTCTTTCGGTGTATGTACCTAACTTCCTGCAAAACTCAGCAGCAGCATTGAAAAACACAGCCATTATAGGCTCTGCACTTTCCTGCGGAAATGGCAGGCCCTTGAAAACACTGGTTTTCCAGTCGATTCATATGCTCAAATTGGGTCTTGCCCTTTGGCCTCTTCTGTTTAACGAAACACAGCATCACGTAGTCACCGATGTGCATTTTCCCAGACGAGCAGGCACGTGAGGCGGTCCTGTGGCCCAGCACCCAGCTCTGTCCCACCTGGGCTGCCTCTGCAGGATCCGAAGTAAGTTACGGTCTGACTCTAGGGCCACCCAGCCTGGGTGTTTCTCCGGCCCCATCACTGCCTGGCTGTGTGACCCTAGGCAGGCCATCTCAGTTTCCCCACCTGTCAAGTGGGACTAGCACTATTACTTGCGCTGTAGTGTTGTCGGGAGGACTCAATGAGGCACTGGATACAAAACAGCCAGCCTTCGCTTTTATATAAACACGACTGCTATTTATTAGGACCAGGGATTATAGGTACTTTTGTGAAAGTTTTAAAATGCAAATGAATTTGCTTAAAAGTGTCATTTTGAAACAAACAAGGCTGGCAGTCATTGCTTTGTTTTGCGTGGGAACGCTTTGCAGGCAGAGCAGGAGTTTGGCTGGAGACAGCCAAGCATGAAGACCAGGAGTCGTCCCGCCCTGCCCTTGGCCGAGTGCGGGGATCAGAGCTGCGTGGACTCAGTCCTGGAAGGATTAGGAGTCCTTAGAACACGATCCTCAGAGGCTTTCCCTCCAAAATGGTGTTGCTGTGTTTTAAGGGAGTCAAAAACTCAGCCGGTTTTCTCCCAGGTTAAAATCACACATGCTCACAGGAATTGTGGTGTTTTAAAGCCTTCACAACAGAAGGATGTGAAATTGTTCTCTTCCATGTGACCCCCTTCCTGTCATCCCACTTGTAAATTGTTTCTGGGCTGGAGGGTAAAGTGAAAAGGCCACAGGAACTTTGCGTGTTGTCTCTCTTAGTATTTTAAGACAGGAAGAGCAACTATTAATAAAAGACCAGGCTGATAGCTATGTTGAACCTCATCAATAGTTTAGACACAGCAGAGGTGAAGATGGCATCTTCTCTGTACCATGGGGTTGGCTCCACGGCACTTCCTTCCATTCCTGCAGCCGTGACGGTGCCACCTGCAGCCTCTTACACTGCAAGCCTCACCCCTGGTCTGTCGCCTTTCTGCCTTTGCCTCGGGCTTGGCCCTGGGTTCATTTTGGGGTCAGGCATGAGTGGGCAGCTCTGGTGGCTGCTTTCACACGCAGAGGGCTCTTTCCCGGCAGCTTTGAGGCTTCCTTTCGGGAGCCGCGAGGTCTCTGCACAGGGGCGGACAACGCAGACTGCCCCTGGTTGGGGATTCGTGGCGTTAGCCATGTGTGTCTTCAGCTCTGCTGCAGTGGCACATTAGGGTAGCTTGCAGGTGTAACTCTACTGTCCCCAGGAAGAAACAGTGGGGTAAGAGGAAGTGGCAATTAGGGTCAGGTGTTTTCTTTTCTTTCTTCCCCCTTCTGCCTTAGCAGTACCTGAAATACGTGTCATTAAATCAAAACCTCTAACTGCTGTCGTTTTCCCAGGTTACCCAAATGGATTCCCATAGTTAAAGAGGAATGCTTGAGCCATAATGCTCCATGGTTTCCATCAGCTGTAGTCTTTGGGATTGATAACCAGCCATCAAATTTTCTTTTGTTTTTATATTTTAAAAAATTTATTTTTTAAAGATAGGGTCTTGCTATGTTGCCCAGGCTAGAGTGCTACGGCATCAGCCTAGCTCACAGCAACCTCAAATTCCTGGGCTCAAGCAATCCTCCTGCCTCAGCCTCCCAAGTAGCTGGGACTACAGGCGTGCGCCACCACGCCTGGCCCATTGACTGTCAAGCAGTCTCTATGAATGAGCCCTCAGCACGGACCGCCAGTGGCTGGAGATTCGGGTCAAGTGCTTCTGCAGCTTTTCTGGACTAGTCAGGTCCTCGTTTCTCTTGGTTGTGGATCTTGTCACTTGTGAGCATTTGGGAAGTTTGAGATGGATATTTAATAACCCCGCATGCCCCAAATACCACAACTCTTTTTTTCACTGGATCGATAGTGGCTTGGAAACCTCCTTCTCTTGCTTATCATGAAATCTTTAAAAAAAAAACCCACTGGAAATGTATTTCATATCTGTGCCTCTCTGATCTTTGGTGGAAAGGGCACCTTTGTCTCTAAAGTGGGGAGCTTCTGGGGTCTGTGAGCCAGTGGCAGGTGATGTGCTATCTGGATCCAGCCACTGTCACCTTTTCTGACAAGTGACAACCAGCCTGCCTGACTTTGCCTCCTTTCTGTCTGTCTTATTCCTCTGGGGAGCTGTTTCAGAAGCAAACTGGAGTTTAGACCCAGAAGGTCACACAGGGTGTGATGGCTACACACTGTCATCTAATAAGGTCATGAGAAACTAAGGGGGATGGCCACTCCCAGTCCTTCCTGAACCCTAGACCACCACCCCAGGGACCGAGTCAGTCGGCTCCTGGGGATGAGGGAAACGGGCCGCTGCAACTATGCACTCACCTCCTCCTAATTCTTTTTTTTTTTTTGAGATGGGGTTTCTCTGTGTTGCCTGAGCTGGACTTGAACTCCTGGCCTCAAGCCATCCTCCTGCCTTAGCCTCCTGAGTAGCTGGGACTATCGGCCTGAGCCACTGTGCCCAGCTAGTTTAATTGTTTTCCTTAGTGTCTTTGTCTTTTTTTTTTTTTTTTTAAATGACTGCTTCTTAACCTCTGGCTTTTCTTGCTTTTTCATATTGTTCTAGTTTTTTCTGCCTTTTCAATATTTCCTTCTTTCTTTTCCCCTTTTTGTTTTGACTTTCTTCTTTCCCCTTTCAGACACTTAAGCTGTTTTCTTTCTATTTTCATTCTGTCTTGGTATTTTTCTTTGTACTTTCAGTTCTTTATATGTTTGCAGGTGTTGGCGTCCCCCAGAGAAGCTGACCGTAATCTGGGCATTATTTTTAACTTGAAATGACCCACCGCAGCACAGCAATATGCAAGCAGTGGATGCATATTGGTTCACATCCAGTGATTATCACTGGAGGGGATCAGCCGCGCTGGCATCATTCATTATGAGAAATCCTGCGACAGCATCCTGCTTCTCAGACAATACTCTTTTTTTCTGCCTTGCTTTCTTTAGCTGTTTACACGCCTGTTCTTCTATATAATTAAGCCGAATTGTGCATTCTTCACTTCTGATCACTTATTAAATCAACAGCAGGTTTGTGTACTGCTTTTTTCGCCTCACTCAGTAAAACACCAGCACGTAAGCCTTTATGGCCAGCATTTTAGTGGCTGCTTAATTCCTCACCAGGTTGGCACACTCCCCGGTATGCCCTTCCTCCCCACTGGGGGACATCCCCTTGAGATCGAGAAGAAAGGAAGAAAGGCAGTAGACACGGTGGGAAGTGTGTGACCTTGGCCAGTAGCCAGGTTGGATGTGGGGGTGGCCTTGATTAGCCTCGTGACCCTAGATGAGGCAGTTACCTTCTCCGAAAGGTGATGTCTTGGCGCTTTGAGGGGCTGGAACTTGGAATGTCATCAGTGCCCAGCTGAGGACTTTGAACCTCCTGCTACCCTGGTGAGAGCGGTCACTGGCCAGCTTTCTCTCGGCAGGGGCTGGTCAGCGTGTTCTCCGTAGTCACTTGGGTAGCTGTGGAGGACGGGCAGGAAGGGTGAGGATAAGACCCAGGGCAGGACAGCCTGTGGGAAGGCTGAGTGCCTGGTGACTCACGATGACATGCAAACACTCCTCTCCTAATTCTGGAGCCAGAGAACAATCTCAAAGCATAGAGCGTCTTTTCCCTGTGAGCTCTCAGAGTTGAAATCCCATCGCCAGTGAATGGAAATTAATGGGAATTGACGCTGGGCCTCCGCTGTGCTGCAGCTTCCTGAGCGACCGCGTTGTTTGCACTGGAATTAGGATTTATCGAAGATCATTAGCGTTTGCTTTTTTTTTAAATCAAATAAGCGTCATCTCTGTGTCTGAAGATAAACAGTTCTGTGTCTGGAGGATGTTTGAAGTACAGAAATTTTGACTTTCAGTGCCATATATTTTGGTAATGACAAAATTGAGGGGGGTGGCACTTCCCCCTGCCCCAAGGGAATGTGTCCACTTCTGACCAATATCTGTAATTTTGTTTGCAGATTCCCACTGGAAATCCGTTATATGAATCTTACTACAAGCAGGTAGGTTTGACTGATGTCTGTTTAGATGGAACCAGAGTAATTAAACGGGAAGCCGGTACTAAATCGAAGCCCAGTTGAAGCGGCCTCTTGTCCTTTTCTGTCTTTCAATCGGGTCAGCGTGGCGGGTCCTGCTTTCCCTGCGGCTGCAAAGTCATCTGGCTCTCGCCCTCCCATTTCAGGTCGACCCAGCTTACACAGGGAGAGTCGGGGCGAGCGAAGCTGCACTTTTTCTAAAGAAGTCTGGCCTTTCAGACATCATCCTTGGGAAGGTACGGGGAAGACGAAGAGTGATTTCCCTTCGGTGGCCGCCCTCTCACCTCCCGCCGGGCAGGCCAAGGCCAGCCTTTGCAGACCCCTCTGTGGGACTGTGCCTCCCAGGGTGTGGCCTGGTCACCGAGAGCCACTCAGGCTGTAACGGGTGGATCCCAACACCTGGGCGGCAGCCGCCACCGCTAGTTGGGTGGCAGATAAGATGCCTGAGTGCTTTTGGGGCCTTGACAGTGTGTGGATTTCTGTAGGGGGTGCAAGGATGTAACAGACACCATTTGGCTTTGGAGCTGAGTGGACCTGGATATGCCTGTGGGCAGATCAGTCACCTGCTCCAAGTGGACCTCTCCATCCACAACCTGGGGACTGTCACTCCTGCCCCCAAGGCCGTCAGTCCGCAAGGCCCACAGTAGCTGTGGTGGCCACTCCTGTTTTTGTTAACACATGGGCAATGATCAGCAGTCACGCTCACGAGCATTTTTGTTTCTGCAGATATGGGACTTGGCCGACCCAGAAGGTAAAGGGTTCTTGGACAAACAGGTACATACACGCACGTGCAGAGCGAGTGGGGGGGCCGGGTCAGTATACACACGTGTGCCCAGAGCGAGTAGGGGGTGCTGGGTCAGTATATACACGCACGCGCAGAGCGAGTGGGGGGTGCCGGGTCAGTATATACACTCATGCGCAGAGCGAGTGGGGGGCTGGGTCGGAGCCCCCCCCCGTGCTGAGTGACCTCCGCACTCCCTTCCACGTTTCTCCACTGTCAAGCATCACCCGGCATAAGTGCAGCTATCAGACTTAAAATGGGAAGTTTTCATTTTGAAATAAAGGTCTTTTAAACACTTGGTGCCATCTTTCATGGTTAGCGTATCTTTTGATGTTTTGTGACCTTACACATGATTTTAAGTGTTGTCAAAACTTTTATTTTGAAATATTTCAGACTCTGATGGAAGTTGCAGAAATAGTTTGGAGCATTCCCGTGTATTTTTGCCAGCTCTGCCCCACGACAGCGGCTTAGGTAGCCCCGGCACTGTGACCACAGCCAGGAAGCGGACGCTGGTGCAACACTGAACTAAAGGCTGTAGTCAGAGCTGACGTGCACTCTTGAGAAAAAGGGGGTGTATAGGTCTATGCAGTTTTATCATTTTCATAGATTCACATAACGACCACCCCAGTCAAGATACAGAACTGTCCCAACACCCCCAAGAAACTCCTTCGTGCTGCCCCTTGGTAGTCACACCCTGATCCCTGGCAAGCACCGGTCTGTTCTCCATCATGATAATTTTGTTTTTTCAAGAATGTTCTATACAGCCGGTCACAGTGGCATGTACCCTGTAGTCCCAGCTACTCTGGAGACTGAGCTGGTGGAAGGATTTCTTGAACCCAGGAGCTCAAGGCTGCAGTGAGCTTGATCATACCACAGCACTCCGGCCTGGGCAACAGAGTGAGACCCTGTCTTTTAAAGGAAAAAAAAAAATGTTCTATAAATGGATTTTACAGGACAGTTTGAGCATCTCTAATTGGAAATCGCAAATGCTCCAAAATCCAAAACTTTTTGAGCACCGAATAATGCTCAAAGGAAATGCGTATTGGAGCATTTGGGATTTTCAGATTAGGGATGTCCATCTGGTAGTCATAATGCAGATATTCCAAAGTCCAAAAAAATCCGCAATCCGAAACACTGTCTCAAGCATTTCTTTGGTTGAGAGATACTCAGCCTGTACTCGCAAGCGACTTTAAGTGGTCATAGGTGTAGGCGAAGTTAGTTCAGCCTTTCACCAAACTGTGTTCAAAGGGACATTGTCCTGGTGTGCTACAGCCTGCGGGCCGCTCCCTCGGGAAGGCAGGGTCAGCTATACCTTCCTTCCTAGAGATTCCTGACGCACGTGTGCGTGTTAAAGGTTCTCAGAGTCCTTATGGAGAACAAACCTGTTATCTTTGCCTATTGCAGTTCCCCTAAACTTACTTATGTCCCCTTTTCTCAACACTCCGTATCACCCTCTTCACTCTACGTGGGTTTCTGTGGACAGCAGCCTGAGAAGGCTGATCTAGTGCATATCTCTTTGAAAAAATTTTAAAGCTGTAACTGTGTTTATATCCTTAAAGCCATCCGTGTTCTTAGGCCAGTTGATCCATTGAGAAAAACCTTGAAAGTCCATTAAGCCTGTGGGGTGGCAGATTCTGGGTTAGGAGGTGGGTGGGGAGGGGTGGCGGCACCTGACAGCCACGTTCGGGTTCTCTGTCCCTGGGCAGGAGGTGGAGTCCAGTCAGGCTGCTGGGGGGAGCGGGGGATCACGGGAACCTCAGATGTAAATTCCCGGGCAACTGTGTGTATTTCACTGCTTTTTAAAAAAGTCAACACATAATTGGTCCATGATTTGTCACCTTAAACATATTAACTCTGCTACTTTCTACAATCTAGCATTTCCTAAAAGTTGGGGGCTCATTATTTTCGGAAAAATACATTGGTATGAAGTCGTATAGCATTCCACGTGCAGTGGGATAAATGCAGTTTAGTGTTTTCATTTAAACGATCTCCCTAGGGTGAGCCTAGCCTACCCCACTCTCTAAGTGGCTTTTGCACAGTCTCCATCGTTGAAGCGAAACCCCTCTTGTCGCTCCTGGAGACAGCTCCCTTCCTGCCCTCGCCGGCCTGGTGATATTTACCACAAGGCAAATGCTTTTTTGAATTCGCAGGGTTTCTATGTTGCACTGAGACTGGTGGCCTGTGCACAGAGTGGCCACGAAGTTACCTTGAGCAATCTGAACTTGAACATGCCGCCGCCTAAGTTCGTGAGTGTCCAAACCCTTCACGTTCCCATTCTAATGCCTGTGTGTGTGTGTATGTGTATGTATCTCAGTGTTTTCTGTCCCCTTCCCTGTTTTTGTTACTGAGCTGAAATTCATAGTATAAAATAACAATTGTAAAGTGAACAGTTCAAATGACATCGGCACGTTTGCGGTGTGCCATCGCTTCGATGTGCCTTCACAAATGTGCCATCGCCTCATCTAGCTGCAGAACGTGTCCATCACCCCGGAAGGAGACTCCGTCCCCCTTATGTAATCGCTCCTCTCCCAGGCCCTGGCAGCCACTGATCTAATTTCCGTGTATAGATTTACCTGTTCTGGACATTTCATATCAGTGGAATCATACAATGTGGCCTTTCGTGTCCGGCCTCTCTCACTCAGCGTCATGTTTTTGAGGGTCATCCACGTCGTAGCAGGTGTCAGCGCCTCATGCCTTTCTGTGGCCGATAATCCATTGTACGGTGGACCTCTGCTTTATCCATTCATCCACCGACGACCTATGAGTCGTTTCCACCTTTTGGCTACGAGTATCCACGCACAAGGATTTGTTTGAACACTTCTTTTTGATTCTGTTGAGTTTATACCAGGAGTGGAATTGCAGGGTCGTGTGAGAATTCCAGGTGTAACTTTTTGAGGTCTTTCCCCTTTTGGAAAGCACTCTGAAATGTGCGTCCTTGTCAGCCCACCCATCCTCCTATAATTTAATTCCGTGCCAGCCACAAAGAAATGTTCCTTTCTCTTCTCAGCACGACACCAGCAGCCCTCTGATGGTCACGCCGCCTTCTGCAGAGGCCCACTGGGCCGTGAGGGTAAGTGAAGAGGGACAGCTCCTTGGCTTCCTGTGGCATTGTCCTGGTCATTTGTGATATCGTTCAAGATGTTTTATAGGACGATTCATACGTTCGTATCATCTATTCTGTCTCAGCACGTGAATTGACGTGGAATTTGGATGAAATACCTTTTCAAAGGGAAATGTTTTTTTTTGAAAAGGCTGTGGCTCTTCCCTGTAATTGGAAATTGCCAACTGGGACAACTAGCTAAGTTACAGGAGTCGGGTTCCTAAAAGCCTGCAGTTTAAGTCTTGCACTTTCAGGTCACATTCTGTGGTTTTTGCTGCTTGTGTTGGTTGATGACAATAGAAAAGGAAATTGTGACATCTCGCGAGCACCCAGACCCCCAAATGTGTTCCTTGCTTTCTCCCTCATTTCCAGCCACATGTTATGATTCTTTCTGATGCTCTGATCGCCTTGTGGAAAGCTTCTCTTAGCACTTAACGTGTTATTTTTAAGACAGAGGATGTTGTGGCTAGAAAGATGCGTTTATTGCTTCCAGAAAAGAAAAAAACAAGGGCTGTCTTCTCGTGAGCACAGAATTCCTCCAACAGGAAGTGAGCGTGGGATGCGGACACGTTCCCCACGTAAAGTGAGGCCTGTCACCACCCCTTCTCTTTCAGAGGATGGTCACATTTTCTTACTCTGCGTGGTTTAAATGCTAGCATTCGTAACACTCTTGCTGTAAAATAAAGACAAGCCTTCCCCTGCCCCAAGCACTTTTGCCCTGTGTTCGAAGGGTTGGTTTGTTCCCTTCTTGGAAAGGTTGGGGCACGAGGAGGTTTCACGTGACCACGGGGAGTTGTGACGTCGCGTCCGAATGGCGCACATTGCCAGTGGCTGTCACGGTACTCGAGGATTTCTGGGTCGTCCAGCTGCACGGTGCTGACTTTGAAAGAGAGCTGCTTTGTCGTGGGAAGTGGGGCCCACGAGATCTCATTCCTTAAAGTGTTACTCTCTTCCAGCGGGAGTGGTGCTCAGGCCGCACTGGAAGGGCTGGGGCCGGGGGGCCCGCCAGGCCTCGCAGAGAGGAGCTGGGTAGTGAAGGACCAGGTGCTGGGACTGGGGTGGGCCGTTCTAAAGAGAGATGCCACGTCCCATTCGTGGACGCAGCGAAAAAACCCAGCCTGAACTGCCAAGTGCTCGTTTCCATTGTGAAGGTTCCCGCGCCTCTCAGAGCGCTGAGTCAGCGAGCCTGACGGGCGGGGAGAACCCCCGACAGGCCTGGAAAGTTCGGCCTCTCAGCGCTTAACAGCCCCCAGTGTGTGCAGTGTCTGCGGGAGCTCTCGTTTCTGCTATTGAGGGCGCCGTCTTGTTTTTTTTCCTCTCTTTTTAAAAATTTTAAACGCTTTACTGTGGCAAAATACACATCACATAAATTTTGTCGTCTTAACCATTTCTAAGCACACAGTTCAGTAATGACAAGTACCTTCACATTGTGCAACAGTTGCCACCATCCATCTCGAGAACTTTCTTATCTTCCCAGACTGAAACTCTGTCCCCATTAAACACTAGGTCCCCCTCCCCCGGCCCCTGGCACCCACCATTCCACTTCCTGTCTGCGGATTTGCCTAGTCTAGGAGCCTCACGTGAGTGGACTCGTACAGGGCTTGTCTTTTTGTGTCTCGCTTATTTCACTTGGCATAATGTCCTCGAGGCCCACAGCAGGTTGTGGTGTGTGTCGGAACTTCATTCTGTTTTATGGCTGAATAATACTTCATTATACGGATATGCCGCATTTTGTTTATCCGTTCATCTGTCGGTGGATGCTTGCTGAGGGTGTTTTCTTAGCGCTCCCAGGAGCTCCAGCGCGTGGCCAAGCTGGTGGAGAGGGGTCTGCTCTCTCTCGGTTCCACTCTCCGTTCACCGTGGGCCTCATTTCTGTTGGAGGGCGGACTGGAAGCCACTGCCCAGGCCTTCGTACTGATGGCCCCGTTTACACGCTGCCTGCGTTTTATCTTTCAGAATGGCAGTAGCTGCTGCTCTGCGTCGTAAATCTGCCCAGATCTTCCTTCTGTTCATGAGGACCGACCTTTCCTTCCTTACTTCCTCCCTCCCTTCCTTCCTCTTCTAATAATTATTTGCTCATTCACTAACACTTATTCACACTTTCATCTTTCTGGAACTAGTGAGCTCCTCCAAGGTTGGTAGGAGTGATCTTTGTCTCCCTACAGAGACACCGCCCCCCTGCTGAGGCCCCGGCCACGCTCAGACAGAGAGCAAGACCCGGGCCAGGCCCTGCTGGATCCGAGCTTGCCAGAGAGCCGCTTCCTTCAAGGCATAGCCTCACTTGGGCAACCCAAGGGACTGAGACTGTTCTAAGACCGGCTTGTGCTTTTAGCCCCGGGCGATGGTGGGTGCACGGCTGTTTTCACCTGGCTCTGGGTCAGAGCTTGATTTGGACACTCACACAGGTACACTTTTACTCACCCAGACTTTCTCTTTCCAACTAGGTGGAAGAAAAGGCAAAATTTGATGGGATTTTTGAAAGCCTCTTACCCATCAATGGTTTGCTGTCTGGAGACAAAGTCAAGCCAGTCCTCATGAACTCGAAACTACCTCTTGATGTCCTGGGCAGGGTAAGTGAGCCGTGGGTTTGGTTCTTTCGCATTCTACACTGCTGCTGTGTTTGGTCAGCACCGTTCTCCCGCCCCAGGGACACTTAACAAGGTTCTTGCTCTGTGCATAAGCCCGTGTCATCAGGGGCTTCACAAGCCCTCATGTGGCACTTGCTACAGTTAGGCTGGCTCAGTACTTCCCAGATTTGGCTCCCAGGTGCTCCCCCAGCCCATGGGGAAGGTGCTAGAGTCCTTCCATTTCGCAGATGGGGAGGTGACTCAGAAGTGAAGCTTCTGCCCAGGACCCGGGGACAAGCAGAGCTCAGCCTTGAGCCCCCTGATCTGGACTTGCCCCTTTTCCATTGTGCTGAGTGTAGGAGTGTGTGGCTGTATTTTTTATTCCTTTCCTTTGCTTTTTTTTTTTTTTTTTTTTTTGAGATGGGGTCTGACTGCATCGCCCAGGCTGGAGTGCATTGTTTAGTTACAGGTGCAATCTTGGCTCACTGCAACCTCCAACTCCTGGGCTCCAGCGATCCTCCTGCCTCAGCTTCCCGAGTAGCTGGGACTACAGGCACGCACCAACAAGCCTGGCTAATTTTTTTGTAGAGATAGGGTCTCGCTCTTGCTCAGGCTGGTCTTGAACTCCTGGACTCCAGTGATCCTCCTACCTTAGCCTCCCAAAGTGCTGGGATTACAGGTGTGAGTCACCATGCCTGGCTCTTTTCTATTGTTAATTACTTTTTTTTTCTTCCTGTAAAGCTCAAGGTAAAAGTACTTTCAACTCTGCTGCAAGTCTAAGAAATTTTGTGCGTTCCCTTTTTTAAAAAAAAACACTCAATTTTGTTCCTATTAAATATAAGTGTAGTCATCCCTTGGTATACTTGGGGGATTGGTTCCAGGACCTCCCTCATATACCAAAATCCATATACTCAAGTCCTGAAGCCGGCGCTACACATATGAAAAGTTGCCATCTGTGTACTCGGGTTTTGTATCCTTCAAAATACTTTTTATTCTTGTTTGGTTGAAAAAAATCCGGGTATAAGTGGACCCGCACAGTTCAAACCCGTGTTGTTCAAGGATCAACTTTATTTTATTTCTTATTTTTATTTTTTTTAGATATATAATAGTTGTACATATTTATGGGGTACATTGATATTTTGATACATGCATACAATATACAATGATCAAATCAGAGTAATTGGAATATCCATCACCTCAAACAGTTCTCATTTCTTTGTGATAGGAACATTCCATAGCTTCTCTTCTAGCTATTTTGAAAGATACAATAAGTTATCATGAACCAGACTTGCCCTGTTGTGCTAACAAACACTAGAACTTATTCCTTCTGTTTTTTTCTTTTGTACCTTGCCTTTAAAAGGAACTTATTCTTTCTGACTGTAAATATTTTAGATACAACTTTCTATTCCAGACTGTTTTCACTCTCAGCGAGGTCTGAACGGTGGCGCCGTGGGCTTGCTTTGTGCACAAATCCGCGTTTCACGTGGCTGGCTGCATGCTGGAGAGTTCTCTCTCTGGACTTAGAGAGGGTGGTTGATGTCTGTGTGGATGGGATCGCTTCGATGGGGCAGGTGGAGGTTCCTGGCCCAGGTGTGCCACACGTGAGTCTGGCTCCTGACCTGTGGCAGAACCCTGGGGAAAGGCGAAAATTTAGGCCCACCCTGACTCACCTAGTAACGTTGATGTTGAATATCTGTCGCCTTGAAATCTACGAGGCGTGTTCACAGACACTGGCCCGGTTTGGGTGTGCCTGGTGGAGCCCGTCTCGATGCTTTATTTTGAAACGGGGCAGCTGCGACGGGATTGCTCAAGTCCCTCCATCCTCACGGCAGCCGTGGCCTGGCGTAGATGGAGCCCTGCGGTGGGTACCCAGGCTGATCCCCAACGGGCTTTACGAGGCGCGAGTCCTTATCGCAGCAGGGTGCGGTGGCCCTTTCTCGTGCAGCGTGTGCGTTTATTTGGCAGTCCTTGCAAAATACCTGACAGTTGGATGTGAAGTGGCAGACTGTTGTAGAGCCAAGTCATGAACAAAACAGAGATTCACAGTGGTGGACTGTGCTTTATTAGAAAGGGAGCCGCGGCCAGGAAAGACATGTTCTGCCAGCCTTCTGTCCTGGCTCCAGGTCTTGTGGCACCGGGTCGCTTCTCATCTGCCACTCCCTCCACCAGCCAAACCATAGGTGCACCAGCATGTGCACACCCCTGAGATGTTCACACGTCCGTGCATGCGCGCACGCATCTGCGCACGCGTGCATCTCTGCACCCATGTCCCGTGTACTTGTCTATCCATGCACCCCTGCAGTCATTCACCTGTGCATCTGGGCACCCACACATCACGCATCTCTTCTGTCATTCAGCAAGCAATTTTCAGAGTCTGTGCTGGACCAGGCCCTGTGCTGAGCACTGGAAAGATGGGGATGAAGTTAGATACAATCAAGGAGGTCAAATAAGTACCAGCCGAGATGCTAATACTCATTAATGAGGGCTTGATGTGTGCAGGCCGGCTCTGATGCTCTGGCAAGTGAAGACATCCAGTACTCACAGCCACCCAGTTATGGACGGTGCCGCCCCCTATTTTCCACATGGAGAAACTGGCCTTCAGGGTGGTCAGGAAGTTGCCCTGGGTTACCCATCGATTGAAGGGCACAGAAGGGGTGAGATCCTGTTGTCAGCAGAGTGGGGCAGGGTCAGATGTGCATTGTGCATTCTGGGTATCATGGCTTGGTCCACTGAGGATGGCGGGGGATAGGCCCTGACCCACCTGAGGTCGGGGAGCAGGGCAGGGAGGGAAGGCCTCCTAGAAGAGATACCCCTAGCTACACCCTCTGCCTAAGGGGAACTCAGGCAGAAGTCTGGGCACACGACAGCTTCAGCGAAGGCACAGAGGCCCCAGGCAGCCTGGCATGCTGGTTAGGGCTGGAGTTCTCCTTGGGCGCTTCTGTCCCCCAGAGGATGTTGAACAATGACTGGCGACATTTTTGGTTGTTGCACCTGGGTTGGGTGCTGCTGGCATCTGGTGTGCCAAGACCAGGGGTGCTGGTTAGCACCCTACAGTGCACAAGACGCCCCCACCCCAGAGAACGATTCGGCCCCAAGGGTCAGTAGTGCCGCGGTGAGGAGGCCCTGGGCTGGGGGAAGACTGGAGCCAGAAGAGCCTGTTGGAATCCTCACGCAGTCCCCAGGGCTCCAGGTGGAGCCCGAGGAGGCTGGGCTGTGGTATAGGGGCTCAGTAGCAGCCAGGCGACAGGGCTCCACCTACCAGGCCGAGGGGTAGTGTGGGGTAGGGACAGGTGTGTGTTCCGGAGCAGTCCCTGTGGTGGCAGGGGGCCAGCTGGAGGCTCTTGCCTGCGTGGAGTGGGTGAGGCCCGGGTCTCGTGCACGCAGCAGAAGTGGAGAGGAGGACCCGGTCTAAGAAACCTCCGCGGGCCAAGGTCCGAGTGACTGACTGGGGAGGGGCGGTGCTGACAGGCGAAGCGTCATGGAGGGATGCCCTGTGTTGTCCAGGTCAGGCAGGCGTGCTGGTCTGGGAAGGCTGCTTTGGGCCGGGAAGCCAACACCTTGCTTCGGCCCCCGACACAGAACCCACACCTGTCCACCTTGTCTGCAGGGCAGTGAGCAGCCTGCCACGTTCCTTGGCTCCCGTCTCACCATCTGCAGCCAGGGAGAGGGGATGAGACCCACAGCCCTGCCTCAGACCCTCGCCTGCAGCCCCGACCAGCCCTGAATGCAGGGTCGGGCTGGCTTTGTGAGTGAGTGTGCAGGGCTTGTGTTCAGGGCAACACCTGTACCCAAATCAAAGCCGTCTTTTCTATCTGAGATCTCTTTGTAGCCAGTTTAACGTGCAGCTCTGGGCATGATCATGATCACGACGCCTGGCGTCTGTGGATCTGGGGTTGACAGTGCTTCGGCAGGTGATGGTTTCTCAGAGAACTCACAGGCTGCTTCTAAAGTGCGTGTCGATCGCCTTGTCGGGACCCCAGCGAGCACCACGGACTCAGAATCCGAGTTCTGGTGGGTGAGGCTGGCTCTCCCATGGGCCTTTGCTGCCCTAATAACCTGCCTTGGTGTCGCCCTTGCAGGTCTGGGACCTCAGTGACATCGACAAGGACGGACACTTGGACCGGGACGAGTTCGCTGTGGTAGGCCCCGCCGCGTCTCTTCCCCATCCCGCTGAGGAAGGCAGTGTGCAGCTCACGCGGGACTTTCTGGATTCATTTGTTTTTCTTCTTTAATGTTTTTTTAAAGTGTTTATTTTGACACAATTCCAGATATGTAGAAGAGTTGCAGCATAGGTCGAGTATCCCAGTATGAACGTCCGACATCCGAAATGCTCCAAGATCTGAAGCTGTTTGAGCGTTGACACGACACTCAGAGGGAACGCTCATTGGAGGATTCAGATTTTGGCTTAGGGATTTCAGCCAGTACCTGTAACGTATAGATTCAAAAATTTGAAAACAGTCTGAAATCCGAAACACTTCTTGTCCCAAGCATTTCAGATTTGGATACCTTTCACCCAAATTCCCCAGTGTCACTGTGTACCACATTTGCACTCTCTCTCTGTCTCCGTCTCTCTCTCTGTCGCTCAGATTTTTCCTTTGAACCATTTTGGAGTTAAGTTGCAGACACGATACCTCTTCACCCCAAAATACTTCAGCATGTATTTCCTAAAAACAAGAACTTCCCTTAAATAACTGTTGTCCAATTCAGAATCAGGAAATTGGCATGATGTCAGCTCATTTATGACATTTCTATTATCTCCTGTATATCTTTTATTCTATATTAGTGTATCTGTGATTGTATTATTTATTATCTAACCTAAGGATATTATTCAGATTGTACCAGTTGTCCCCAAATGTCCCTGTGGCAAAAGAGGATGACATTCCGTTGTCCTGTGACTTTTACTTCCTCTAACCTCGAGCAGCCCCTCCGGCTGCCTTCATGGTGTGGACATCTCCAGGTGCACAGGCCAGCAGTTGTGGAGTGTCCCTAGGTGTGGGGTTGGCCGCCACTTCCTCGTAATGACCCAGGTCGTGCACTCCTGTGGGGCAGCAATGCCACGGAGGCAATACCTGTCCTTGAGGCCTCACCCCCGGGGGAATGTGATGTCACCATGTGTCTTCCTGCCACGTTGACCTTCATCGCTGGGTCAAGGTGGAGGCTACCGGGTTTCTCCCTGCAGTCTCTCTTTTCCCCTCTGTGCTCAGCCTGTCTCTGTTGGGGACACCTTGAGAATGTAAATACCTGGTTGCCCTCAGACTCTCACCTGCCAGTCCTAGCAGCTGCCAATGAGTCTCCCCCAAGTTCGCTCTGATGGTGGCTGCCCCATGGGGACATTCTATTCTAATTCCAGCATTCCTTGCACATTTATTAGTTGGCCTTCTACGGTAAGGAGTTGATTTATGTCAGTGTGGCTTCCTGGCTGCATCCTCAGTTCCACTGTGTATAGTCTGTAAGTGGGTCTTGGAATTGTGTCATTTTGCATTTCTTTTTGTCACTAGCTGGGTTTAACATTGTGTTGTTTTGAAGTGACCATAAATTTTATCTACTTTTTCGATCTGTTCCCTATGCAGATAGCAAGTTAAAAGCTCTTTTGAAGGGAGGAGGGTTGTGATTTTGGTGTTTGTTAGATTTTAAAATAGACTTTGAAGTCCTTGTTTTAGACCAAGTTTGTTTTTCCCACCAGGGACAGGGGAGCCTGGGACAAGGGAGCCTCCCAGCCTCTGCATGGCATGCCCTTGGATGGCATTTTTTGCATCTCTTGAATATCTGATTCATTGATTGATTGGAGAGAGGTCTTGCTGTGTTGCCCAGGCTGGCCTCGGAACTCCGGGGCTCACATGATCCTCCTGCCTCAGCCTCCTGAGTAGCTGAGCATCCTGAATCACAAGCAGCTCTCGTGGTGTCTCTAGACTTCCAAACTCCAGCCCTTGGGAAGCCGTCAGCCCTGGAGCTGGTGGCCCTCCTGAGCAGTGAAGGGACACTCACGGAATCTGGCTTGGTTGAATTATTTTGTGTTCATTTCAGTGCCATGTAATAATTAAACAAGCGTCTTGGAAAGTTATACATCGGAAGATAACTCATCAGAAAAGATTTACTTTTACTCTGGTCACTTGGCATCCTCCCAAGGGTCTTTGTTGTGTCACCACAGCCCCGGAAAGGGCCACCCTCTGCCTTCTCGTGCTCCTGGTGGCCCCGGCCTCGCCCCCTCAACGCCGTCTGTTCTCGTTTGCACTCGCAGGCCATGCACCTGGTGTACCGAGCCCTCGAGAAGGAGCCCGTGCCCTCCGTCCTGCCCCCGTCCCTCATCCCGCTCTCCAAGAGAAAGAAGACTGTGTTCCCTGGTGCCGTCCCCGTCCTGCCTGCCAGCCCCCCACCCAAAGACAGCCTCCGCTCCACGCCGTCCCACGGCAGCGTCAGCAGCCTCAATAGCACGGGCAGCTTGTCCCCCAAACACAGCATCAAGCAAGCGCAGGTACGCGGCCTCGGCGTTCAGCCACCTCTCAGAGTGCAGCACGACGGTTCTCGGGACCGCTCAACACGAGGCCCAAAAAAGGCCAAGTTTTTGATTAAATGTCTTTTAAAAATGTTAATTGCAGGGATTCAGAATGAACTTTATTATTCACTTGCACGTGAGCCCAACCTGCACACGCCGGCACGCTGCCCCCTCGGGCCTCCCCCCTCGGGCCTCCCTCCTCCCGGCTCTGCCCGGCCGCGGGCCTCTGGGTGGCTCTGGCCTGTTGTGTGGTTAATTACGTATCGTCCACATCCACGCTCCTCAGCTTCGTGAGAGCAGAGTTAGTTCTTGGTTATACCCTCAGCATCTGGAACGATCTCTGGTACTTAGGAGACGCTCAGTAACTGTGTGTCGAACGGTCAGGCAAGTGAGGGAGGCATCTGCGTCATGTTAGGAAGACGCATGGCAGCTCTGTTCCTCCCCACGACCACATCCCACGTATCAAAAAAGATCTTTTTTTTTTTTTTGAGACAGAGCCTTACTCTGTCACCCTGGGCTAGAGTGCCATGGCGTCAGCCTAGCTCCCAGCAACCTCAGACTCCTGGGCTCAAGCGATCCTCCTGCCTCACCCTCCCCAGTAGCTGGGACTACAGGCATGCGCCACCATGCCCAGCTAATTTTTTCTATATATTTTTTAGTTCGGCTAATTTCTTTCTATTTTTTTTAGTAGAGACGGGGTGTCACTCTTGCTCAGGCTGGTCTCCAACTCCTGGCCTCAAGCGATCCTCCCGCCTCGGCCTCCCAGAGTGCTGGGATTACAGGCGTGAGCCACCGCACCCGGCCAAAAAAGATCCGTCTTGTTTTGGCAAATGCAGCATCACAACGGGCTCCTTAGAAAGCGAGTTTTTAAGATTGTCTAAAACACGTGAGAAAGTGACCAAGAGTCACATCTGGAGTCATGCTTCATGTCCTGTCTCATTTGTGGTTTCAAAGCACAGCAGCGAGTGAGTGGTCACGTCAAGAAGGCGGCCACCAGTGCCACCGCACAGCTTCACACAGACTGTGGGTGATGAAAATGAAAAAGGTGTAAACAGACACTGTTTTCTCTTGCACATGCTGTATTTGTGAAGTTAAGTATTTGACTCCAGGGGGCTCATGTCCACGGAGCTTGTAGAATATAGCATCGTACCCTAGAGTTTGAAAGAGGCCGTCTGAGAGGGGGCTCTGTCCCGGGGGAGAGGCAGGGCCTGCACGTGTTACCCTCTACTCGGGGAGTTTCATGTGGCCGGCTATTAACAAGCCTGGCGTCCAGAGGGCCAGGCCCAGGCATCTGTACCATGCCCCCCTCATGCCTTGGCACATCCTGGGGGCCCTAGGGGCACCCCAGTGGCCACATGACAGGCTCCTGCTCTCCCAGGGGGACAGGCGATAAGCAGACCAGTAAGGAAAGGCAGACGGCGCGAGCAAGCAGAACAGAGCCCAGCCTGGAAGTACCAGGGGTGGGTAGGGGCCGTGCCCCTGCAGATGGGCCAGCAGGAAGGCCACCAACAAGGTGACACCCAAGCTGGACCCTGAGTGGCAAGAAGCCATCAGGGGACCAGTCCTTGCCCAGGCTCTGATGTGGGATCCCTCAGTGTATTCTAGAAACAGGAAGGAGGTTGGCTCAGGGTGAGCCATGGGGCCAGTGGGGTGGGATCAGAGAGGGGGCCAAGGCTGGGCCACGTAGCACCTGCTCGAGATGGCCTAGCCTAGCAGCGGGTGTCCGCAGAGCTCTTGCCAGGAGTTCTTAGTACCAAAAGCCGGGTTGGGGAGATTGTTTTATTGTCAAGGTAGCAAGTAGGGCCGAGCTCACTGGCGGGCGCAGGTCACCCAGCCTCATAACCACCGGTCTCCCCCAGGAATCCCTTCTCTTCCTTACTACTTATTAACATCTTTGGGTGTCAGCACTCTTTGAGAAACCCTTTCTTAACTGAAAGGAACGACTCTTAAGCGGAAACTCAGGCATCGTGGCAGGGAGTGGCGTGGCTTTTCTGATCAGTCGCTACGCTGTGGCGGCACACTCCCTCGAGCCCAAGTTTCCGCCTTCCTTTCTCTCCCAACTCCATCATCCAGATCAATTCGGTTAGGGTTTTTTTGTTTGTTTTCGAGACAGAGCCTCGTTTTGGAGCTGGGGTAGAGTGCAGTGGCGTCAGCCTAGCTCACAGCAACCTCAAACTCCTGGGCTCATCGCCACCACGCCCGGCCTCAGTTACGTTTTTACTCTTGCTGCTGTTGTTACAAGATTGTTTAACAGCAGAGACTTCTATACATATTAACTATTTAAAAAACCAGGGAAACCTAGATGATGAAAAGTGTCTCTGGAATCCAGGACAGAGACACTGTGAACCTTGGCGTGATGAGCGTGTCAAAGGCCCGAGGGGACGCAGCCGGAGTCGGCCATGAAGGGACCTGCTCCTGGGTGCCCAAGGGGCTTCGATCCTCTGAATCGGGGGTGGCTGGGCCCTGGGTGACCCACGATGGCACCCACCTCTGTTAAGCAAAATGAAAGCAGGCGGTGAGAGAGGCCACACACACAGCTGGTGGCCCAGCCCTGAGGCCACAGACTTCATGCTGCCCTCCTGGGCTCTTGGTTCTATCTGCAGGAGCGGACCCCTGGGGGGGTGGTCCTCTTGCGTGGTGGGGTCTCACTTATTACCTGTCAGTGACGTGTGTGCTGACACCTCAGGGCGGATCTTTGTTGTCTCGGGGGGTGGATCAGGGACAAAGAAGGATGGTCTGTAGAGTCCTGGAACCCTGGGTACCAAGAGCACCCGGCAGCCTGCAGAGAAGCCTTTGTCAGCAGAGGAGCCCAAGACTGGGGAGGCTGGCAGGTGGGCAGGGCTGGCTCTCAGGAGACAGTCCTTCGTAGTGGGTGCTCGGGAGGGTCTATCCTGGCGTGCTTGGAGTCCTCCTAGAAGATCACCGGCCTCTCTTGGCGCCCCAGGTGGCGGAGTGGAAGGGCTGGTGGTGGATGGAGGCTGGGTCTTTACCTGCCTCTAAGCACAGGGGAGCAAGGTGATGGCGTGGAAAGAGGTGCAGACTGGCCGCTGGGGGAGCTTGATCGAGCCAGCGTCAACCTCTCAGCCTCGGTTTCCCCACGTACAGACCGGGGAACCTGTCTGCACTCTTGGCTTGTGGAATCGTGAGAAGAGTTTGGTGCCAAATGCACGAGAAAGCACTTCGATCGTCCCGCCATCAAAAAGTGTGCGTCTGTAGTCATAAAGAGCTTGCAGATTAACTGTTTTTTAAAAAAACCATTTCAGCCAGCAGCGAGCTGGGTGGTGCCAGCGGCAGACAAGATGCGATTCGACGAGATATTCCTGAAGACGGACTTGGACCTGGACGGCTACGTGAGTGGCCAGGAGGTGAAGGAAATCTTCATGCACTCGGGCCTCACCCAGAACCTTCTAGCACACATATGGTGAGGACAGCTGTGGCTGCGGGTGGCTCCAGGGGACCTGTGGGAGAGGACGCTTGGAGGGTGGCAGTCAGGGCCCCTCCCCAGCCAGTACGCGGCCTCATTTATTCTCCCTGGGCTGACGGGCTGAGCAGGGTGCCAGCGTAAAGCCTCGCGCCTCATCCTCTGTGCAGGGCGGTTCGCCGTCTTCTCGCAGGAGGGGCCCACTGGGCCCTCGGAGAGCTCTCAGGCCGTCTGCTCGCACAGCGGGCCCCGTTCTTGCTGCTGGCAGTGATGCCGGTTCCCCCAGGAGCCGACCTCACCCCTACTTCCCTCCAGGACCAGACAGAGTGGATGTCACAGGGCGGGGGCCATTCCTTCTGTAACTGGCCAGTGGTGCAGTCACCGTTGAGCTTGTTCCACAGAGCGCTGGGACGGTAGAGAGAGCTTCACTTGAGAGTTATAGAAAGGAGAGAATTTCCATATAATTCTCGACAGGTGAATCCCTCTGAGTAGAGCAGTGAAATTCAGCATGTTACTTAGTGGCTTGGGGGAAACAACCGTCCTTAGGAATAATTCGCAGGTGCTGTCCACACCGTGCAGTTCCGTGGTGTGAGGGGAGAGCCCAGGCCTGAGAAACCAGCCTCCCAGAGTCATCACCATATTGGCTGAGCCACCTGCCTCCGACTGGCCAGGGACAGTGATTCTCGACCCCTTTGGCTCTGGTGTTCCCTTTTGGAAACCAATACCATGAGTGGCCCCTTTGTGATCCAAAATGGAGTCGCGAGGAGAGTTTGCACGCACAGTTCAGATAGTGCCATGAGGCCTTGAACGCAGTGTAAAGGGACGGTACAGGGAGAGTAAGCATAAGGTAGACTGCATGCAGTCCGTCCATGACGCGATGGCGTGTGAATGACACAAGGACGTCACAAACCTACCTGGACCAAAAGAAGGAACACGGAAGCCATTCCATGCGGGGAGCAAAGGGGGAGGGAACGAGCTCTAGGATAAATAACGCCGAGGAGAGTTAGAGCAGCGTCTGCACTTGTCTGCAGGTGGCAGGGGCGGGGCATAGCGCAAGTGGAGATGATGCTCCAGGAGGGATCACAGGGGAACATGGGGGCGCAGGCTTTGCCCCCACGATGGCTGACACCTCACCAGTCGGCGTGGTGGACGCCAGCAGAGCAAGGGTCCTCTCTCTCTTTTGAAACCCCTGGCATGTGAGCCTCGGAGCCCAGGCTCCTCAAGAGATGGCAGGAGCAGCGAAGGGCCAGCCAGGAGAGGCAGCAGCAGCCCAGGGGCAGGCCATGGGCCTTCCACAGCCAGATCCGGGAGAGACAGTGGCAGTGTGAGACTGTCGCGCCTCTAGCCTCGAACCGTGGGTGATAACATAGGCATTTTAAAAACAGCCTTGGCTGGGCGAGGTGGCTCAAGTCTGTAATCCCAGCTCTTTGGGAGGCCACAGTAGGAGGATCGCTTGAGGCCAGGAGTTCAAGACCAGCCTGGGCAACATAGCAAGACCCTGTCTCAATATAAAATAAAAAAATTAGCTGGGTATGATGGTGCACACCTGTAGTCCTGGCTACTTGGGAGGCTGAGGTGGAAGGATCGCTGAGCCCAAGAGTTCGTGGTTACAGTCAGCTATGATCCCACCACTGCTCCAGCCTGGACAACAAACAAATCCCCCAAAAACATCTTTATCGGTGATGTTCTGGTCGTTCGCTGTGTCTGTTCACGGCTAGCTTTTGGGCCTGACAGAACATGGCCGGCTCTCCTTTGCTCAAAAAGAGGAAACTGTGTCATGGCTTCTGCGCTAACGGCACGTGAGGTAGGAAAGGAGATCCCGTGTCAAGAGGGTGGCGAGAGTGAAGGCAATTGTCACAGGCACGGAGGCCACATCCTTCCTGCGTGAGTCTTCCCTGGCTCTGTGGCCGGCTCCCCACTTAGCTCAAGTATCGGGGCGCTTCTTACCCAAGCTCTGCGGGACCACTGTAGGCTGCTGTTCACAGGCCGCCTTGTCCCGTCTTTCAAGACGTCAGAGAGCCACATGGGCAGGGGGTGCTTAGCTGTGGGGGCTGTCCTCTGTAATGCAGCCATGCCCCTGTGGCAGCCCCTTGTGGGCACAAGAGGATTGTGTTAGTCCATCAGGCTGCTGTGACAGGGTGGTGTGAGCCACATGTTTCTCACGGTTCTGGAGGTTGGAAGTCTAAGATTAAGGTACCAGCAGATTAGTGACTGGTGAGGGCCGCCTTCCTGCCGTGTCCTCCCCTGGCAGAAGGATCAGAGAGAGCTCTCCGGGGCCTCTTTCATAAGGGCACTGATCCCATGCACAGGGCTCCACCCTCACGACCTGATCACCTCCCACGGGGGTAAGGATTTTAACATAGGAGTTTGGGGGGACTCAAACATTCAGTGCACAACAGGGAGAGAGAGGCTGGTTGCTCCCTCCCTCATCATCATGACAACCCAAACTGCTGCTGTTGTCCCTGATGAAAACCAGTGGCTTGGGCCATTCAGATAACCTAGAGCTGCAGGAACAGGCTGAGTAGTTCCGTTTGCACAGGAATGGCTGGTCTGTCCTGGAGTCGGTAAACCAAACCACCTCTCTCTGCGGCTAGCGAGGTCTCCCCGGGGGTGGGCTCCTTTGCCCATGGGAAGGGGCTCGGTTCTCCAGCCAGGCCAGGACCTCCCCCCAACCCCCCTGCCGCACCCTGATATCCCTCCTTGGGTCGGGGGCGCTGGGAGTTGGGGCGCCCCAGGACTGGTTCCCAGGGTCGGGATGTTAAGTAGAAGTGCAGTTGGGGCTTGCCATCGCGTCCTGCCATCATCTGCGTCGTCGTCATTTTTTTCAAAAGCACGGGTCGGATGACTTGTGTTGGTTGCGCAGTCGGAATCCGGGCCTGCGATGTGTAATTAGCGTCCCACGTCTCTCCCAGGGCCCTGGCCGATACGAGGCAAACGGGGAAGTTAAGCAAAGACCAATTCGCGTTAGCTATGTATTTCATTCAGCAGAAGGTCAGTAAAGGCATCGACCCTCCTCAAGTCCTCTCGCCGGACATGGTGCCGCCCTCGGAGAGAGGCACTCCAGTCCCGGTGAGTAGCCGGCAGCCCAGTCGCGTTCGCGTCCCTGCCCGCTGCCCGCCACCAGGTGGCGCCAGCGGCCCGCGCGAGCCCCACAGTCCGGCGGGCGCCTCAGTGAGGTCCCTGCCTTCCCTGCCTTCCCCGGAGTGTGGCCTGGCCACTCAGGTAGTTCCCCACCCTGGCGGCGGCGCTTTCTCCACCTGTGAACTAAAGAGAAAACTGCATCCCTGGGCCTCAGACCTGGTAGTGCTTGCTGTTGGGGGACGTCGCTTGCTAATCCGTGATCTCACGTCTGATCCGATTCCAGGACAGTTCAAGTGCTCTTGGCTCAGGGGAGTTCACGGGCGTGAAGGAGCTGGATGACATCAGTCAGGAGATCGCCCAGTTGCAAAGGTACTTCGGAAACGGCTCTTTGCCTTCAGCGTCCGAATCTCACATGAGCCCCCTCCTAGGTAGTTTCTGGAAATGGCAGGGACTGCAGTGGAAATTTGATTATCACAAATTTATTCAGAAAAAAGGAAGGGATGCAGATTCTTCCGAGTTCCTAAATTGGCTGAAGGGGCTCGAAGAAGAACGCCTTGGTGTGAGCCGAGGTGGGCATGGGCCTGCGGCAGCTATGACGTCACACGCCAGCCTCCTCTCCGGCGCCGGGAAGGCCTTGCTGTCGGTGACAGACGAGGCAGCGGGTCTCACACGGTGTGCAGCTGGCTGAGGACCTGACAGCTAAACCGCGGGGAAGGGCCTCACGTCAGGTCTCTGGAGCCACTCTGTGTGGCCGCTGCCTCAGTTTCCTCATGTGTGAATGAAGGCTCTGGACGGGCTGTCTGCGCTTTTGGAGCCCAGTATAAAGAAATGCAGTCACTTCCTGTATCCCCCCCTGGGGCCTCGTCAAGAGAGAAACCCTCTTTCCAGCTAATGCTGGGGGAGGGTGGACGCCTGTGGCATGGGGCACCGCGCCGAAGCCCCACGGGTGCTGTGCTCTCCGTGGGGAAAGGGATCCCTGTCTGAAAACGCAGAGGCTGCTGCCTTCCCAGGCAGGGCTGGACCCCATGCACTGTAACAGGTGCCGCACCTGCCAGTCCCTCTGCGCTAGGCTTCATGCTGTCACAGAGCCCTCATGAGCAAGGGCGGGTTAGGTCTCGGAAGGGGTCAGGATGGGGGCTGGTTACAAACGCTCAGCCTCCCCAGCGCAGACTCCCCACTTCACGCTCAGCCCAGGGACAGTTCCTGTTCTGTCCCAGCTCCCTGGGCTGTGTTTTCCAAACCAGAGATCACGTGCCACCCGACAGGGCGGATGGGGCCCGTAAGTCGGAGGGCCAGTGTCCCCGGGCCCAGGCAGGCCTGAGAACCAGGACTAGAAGGCCCAGGATGGAGGGAGCCCCTGTAAGGCGAAGGCGGAGGTCGCAGAAGGGACGCTGGGATCTGAGTCAGGCCAGAGTAGGCTCAGCCCTGGGAAGGTGCCAGCCAGGTGTGTGCAGAGTACCTGTTTGTCGGAGGCTGGAGCCTGCAGCAGCCCTGAGCAGGCGGCTTTGAGAGCGCGCCTTGGATCTGGGGAGTGTGGGCTGGTTCCACACAGCTATAACGGGTTGAGTTTAAAGACGACATTGTGTCGTTAGTTTCTGGGCTTGTGGAAATGAATATTCCGATGACTTCAGTCGTTGCACGTCCGGCGGAATGTCCCAAAGAGGGCCTTATTGTCGTGCAAGTGCTGGGTCCCCAGGCGCGAGGCAGGGTTTGTTGGACATGTGATGTTCCTGCCCCGAGACAGCCCCTTTGGGCACCAGAGTGTCCTAGTCCATCCAGGCTGCTGTAACAGACCACCACGGACGAGTGGCTTAAAGAACAGACATTTCTCATAGTTCTGGAAGCTGGAAGTCCAAGATCCGGTACCAGCAGATCTGGTGCCTAGCACAGCCCGTTTCCTGATTGGCAGACGACCGCCTTCTCACGATGTCCTCAGGTTTCAGGAGGAGCAGAGAGAGCTCCTGGGGTGCATTTTATAAGGGCACCAAAGCCATTCAGGAGGCTCCACCCTCATGACCTCATCCCTTCCCAAAGGCCCACCTCCTCACACCGTCTCAGCCAGGGTGAGGATTGAAAGTAGGAATTGGGGAGGGGGAGAAACGTTCAGTTCATGACAGGAGAGAGGGAGGGAGCTGGCGTGCACCTGGGAGACAGACTGGAGAGCCCCAGCGAGCACCGGCGCCCACACAGCCACGTGCACACAGCCGCCTGCCGGGCAGGAGCTGGGGGCAGCCTCACTGCCACTTCCGGCTGCGAGCCCGTGGCCCTCCCTCCTCTGCGTCACTCCAACTTCTCACCTTGGCTCCCCCAGCCCGGCTTTGCATTCCTGGTCCTGTCCTCTAGAACGTTCTCCCCCTGACTCCCTCTGTCTCCCCGCTGGCCCGTGGGCTCCCTGCAGGCAGGACATAGTGCCTCACAGTGTGCCCTCAGGTCCTCCATGCTCAGGATTCAGGGAGGGAGTCAGTGGTCAGTGGAGGATTGAGAGAGTGCTGGTTTTCTCGCCAGGTAACAAATCACCAGAAATGTAGTGGCTCAAAACAAGACAGAAGCCATCAGCTCGCAGTTCTGTGGTGCAGACGTCCAGGGGGCCCCGACCAGGCTCTCCATGGGGGGGGGTCTCTCAAGGTTGAGGTCAAGGTGCCGGCTGGGCTGGTCCCAGGTCCTGCCTGGGGTTGGAGGGGAGGTTACCTGGGGCGAATGGTCTCGGGCGTCGTCCTTAGCCTTCTGCCACCGCAGAGAGGGGTTGACGTTGGGTGGGTTTCTGTGGGGCTGAGCAGAGTTGGGTCTTGAGAAGTCAGGGTGGAGAGTTCTTATTCACCCTGAGTTTTCATGAAATATTTTTCAACATTCAGAGAGAAGTACTCACTGGAGCAAGACATTAGAGAAAAGGAAGAGGCAATCAGACAGAAAACCAATGAAGTACAGGTAAGGACGTTGCTCTCTTTGGTTCCATCGACTGTGTTCAATGCAGTGCGAGAAAACTTCCCTCAGCGTGTGGCCGGGAGGGGCCCAGGTCTGCACTGGACAGAAGTTGCACCCTTGGGGGCTTCCAAGTGAATCTTTTAAAGTTGCCTAGAACCTACTATATGGGATAAATGTTTGTGTGAGAAAATAAGAAGTTAAAAAAAAATAAAAATAATAAAGTTGCCTGTAACCATGGACAGTAGCTTTTCTTTATTAAATTGAGACAGTCGGCCCTCTGTATCCACAGGTTCCGTATCCACGGATTCAACCAATTGCAGATCAAAATTACTCTAAAAATAAAAATAAACAATAAAAATAATACAAATTAATAAAACAATATAACAACTATTTATATAGCATTTACAGTGTGTCAGGTATTGTAAATAATCCAGACAGGACTCAGCATGCAGGAGGGTGTGTGCAGCTTACGGGCACAGACTGCCTGGGCATCCTTGGATCGTGGTACCAGTCCTCCGCCCATACTGGGGGATAACCGCATGTAATTCACAGAACACAAAATATACTATTTTAAAGTGTATAATTCAGTGGCTTTTAGCATATTCACTGTGTTGCTTCACCATCACTTCTGCCTAGTTCCAGAACATTTCCACCACCCCACAGTGGATCTCCATAACCGTTGGCGCTCATCCCCGCCTCCCCACCACCCCTAGCCCCTGGCACCCACCTGTCTGCTTTCTGTGTCTGAATTTTTCTGTTCTGGACATTTCATGTAAAGGGAATCACACAGCCTGTGGCCTCTGTGTCTGGCTTCTCTCGCTCCGCCAAGCGTCGCGTTGGCAAGGTTATCCGCAGTGTTGCGTGTTAGTGTCGCATTCCTTTTCGTGTCTGAATACTGTCCCATTGTGTGCGTGGGCCACTTTCTATTCATCCATTCATCAGATGTCGGATATTTGGGTTTTTCTACTTTTTGGCTATTGTGAATAATGCTGCTGAGAAAATTCACGTGCAGATTTTTGTGTGAACACCTGTTTTCATTTCTCTCGGTATATGCCTAAGAGCAGAGTGGCCAGGTCATACGGCAACTCTACGTTTAGCCTGCTGAGGAGCCGCCAGACCGTTTTCCAAAGTGGCTGAGCCGTTCCACACACCCACGAGCGGTGTGTGAGGGTTCCAGTGTCCATACTGCCTCGCCAGCACTTGTCATGGCCTGCTCTCTGTCACAGCTGTCCTGGCGGGTATGGAGCGGTGCCTCACTGTGGTTTTGATTTGCGCATCGTCCGTGCTGACCTAATGATGCCAGGCATCTTTTCATGTGCCGATGAGCTGTTTGTATATCTTCTTTGGAGAAAAATTAATTCAGATCCCTTGTGCATTTTTAAATTGGGTTGTCTTTTCATAACTGATTTTTAAGAGTTTTTTATTGTTTCTAGAAGTTTTTTATCAGACATATGACTTGCAAATATTTTCTGTGGGTTGTTATTTCATTTTCTTGATGGTGTCCTTCGAAGCACAAAGGGAAGTGACAAGTGACACTTGGTTATGTCCAGTTTATCTTTCTTTCTTATTGTTGTTCTTGCTTTTGGTGCCATATTAAGACCTTTTGCCAAATCCAAGGTCACAAAGATGTAGCACTCTGTTTTCCTCTAAGAGTTTCATAGTTTTAGCTTTTACGTTTAGGCCTTTGGTCCATTTCCGGATACTGTTTGTGTTTGGTGCGAGGCAGGGTCCAGCTTCCTTCTTTTGCACGTGGAGATCCAGTTGTCTCAGCACCGTTGTTGAAGAGACTGTTCCTTGCCCCCTGGAATGGTCCTGGCACCCTTGTTGACCCAGCTGATGGTAGCTGTGTGGGTTTGTTTCTGGACTCGGCTCTGTCCTGTTGACCTACACGCTTCTGCTTATGCCAGGACCACGCTGGCTTGATGACTGTGGCAGGTTTGACATCAGAGAGCGTGAGTCCTCCATCTCTCTCTTTGTCGAGATTGTCTTGGCCATTCTAGACGGCTTGCTTTTCCATATGAAGTTTGGAATCGGTCTGTCATCAGTTTCTGCAGAGAAGCCAGCTGGGATTCTGACAGGGACCATGTTGAATCTGCAGACTGGGTTATTTTTGTGTTCTCCTTGCTGGTCCCCCATGCTGCCACCAGCAGCTTTCTCACCTCGAGCTAGTGGGTCTTTGTCCCCATGGGACTCTTCGGTGGCTCCTTCTCCATTACAGAACCCTCGATGTCCCAGGCTGTTAGTCACCTGTTGCCTCCGGCTATCGCTGGGACTAACCCTCCTCCCTCCTTCATCTCTGTTGTCACTTGTCACTTCCCTTGCATGTGGCAAACCCAGGTCCTCGTCTCCCCACGGCTAACTCTGTTTCGGATATTCTGTGTGATCACGCCTCAGTGTAGGGGTTCAGAGACGCAGCGCCTGTCCCGTCAGCAGCCCAGAGTCTCCGCTGGTGTCATGGGGAACCCAGGAGGGAGAACCTACAGTGCAAAAACGTACGCAGGAAGGTTAAAAATGTGTATTTCTTAGTTCCGTGGGCTTATATATCAGGGGAAAGCAAGAGTCAAGAAGGGCAAAGAGAGGAGGGAGAGCGAGCAGGGCAGGGCTCCTGGGCAGTGGGCTCGGACCCTGAGCACCCTCTGCTGGGAGGAGCGGTGAGGCGTCCCCGAGCACCTTTGTCATCGCAGACACCGACAGCCTGAGCGCGGACCGTGTTGTCTTTGTCCGCTTGGCCTGCTGTGACGAAGTACTACAGGCCGGTGGCTAATAAACAACAGAACTGTGTCATTGCTCACAGTTCTCAGGGCCGGAAGTCCAAGATGAGGATCCGACAGGTTTTGTGTCTGGTGAGGTCCCGCTTCCTGGTTCATAGATGGCTCCTTCTCGCTGTGTCCTCACGTGGTGGAAGGGTCAAGGCAGCTCTCTGGGGTCTCTTTTATAAGGGCACTGATCCCACTCACGAGGGCTCCACTCATGACCTCATCACCTCCCAAAGGCCCCTGTCCTAATCCTCCCCCTTTGGAGTGAGGATTTCAGCATAGGAATTTGGGGGGCAGGGGGACACAGACATTCAGTCCCCAGCACACGGCCAGTGAGTTCTTTCCCCCCGTCCTCATGTCGTGTCTCTTCCAGGCACATATTCTCCGGGCATGAAGTATGTGGCGTACGCATTTTGTCGTCGTTGGTTTTTATTTAAGGGCAGACATAGGAAGGAACTTCTATCCAGGGGGTGGGCGCAAAGCAGGCCAAGGCCATCAGAGCCTGCAGTGTCCTGGGACTGAAACGGGGGCTGTGGCCTGGAAGGGGTCGGTGCGGTGCTGATGAGAACTCTGGGACCCAGGGACATCGGAGTGAGCAGCCAGGGTCACCTGGTGGCAGGGCCAGGAGTGACATGGCAGGTTCTAGAGGTTTCTGTTGCTGGTTGCTTCTCTCAGAGCACTGGGCTACGTCAGGCTCATCTGTGCCACCCCCATGCCTCATCCATTCCCACGTGTTTAAAGACCATCCGAGGCCATGCACGGTGGCTCATGCCTGTAATCCCAGTACTTGGGGAGGCCAAAGCGGGAGAATGACTTGAGGCCAGGAGTTCAAGACCAGCCTAAGCAAGAGTGAGACCCTGTTTGTACAAAAAACAGAAAAATTAGCCGGCTATGGTGGTTCATGCCTAGAGTCCCAGCTACTGGGGAGGCTGAGGCAGGAGAACAAGGGAGCCCAGGAGTTGGAGGCTGCAGTGAGCTATGGTCTCGCCACTGCACTCCAGCCTGGGTGACAGAGTGAGACCCTGTCTAAAAAAAGACCGAACAAACAAAAACCAAACAAACAAGAAAACCATCTCAATGCCGACACTCCCGAGTTTCTGTTTCCAGGGTCTTCCCAATGCACCCACTGGGGACTTTCTCCCCAGTTCCATGAGGACTGTGTCCAGAACGACTCCCTGATCACCCTCCAGATCACCCCTCCAATGAAAGGCCAGGGGCACGGAGATGGGGATCACAGACCCCAGCTGCCCCGAGGCATGATTTGACTGTCGAGCCGGGGAAATGAGAGCCAGGACGTTTTTTGTCCCCCTAGTGGGGAGAAGGGAGACCCTGGGCCACCTCTGGGTTTGCTGGCACTCGGTGTCACCTCCCTGACCTGCATGACCTACAGCTCCCCTGCAGTCCACCCGACCACCACCTCACCCAGGCCCAGGCTGCCGCCGCCTCTCCCTGAACCCCACCTGAGCCCCGCCCTGCAGTCCCTGCCCCCTTGGGCCACACTCCCCACAGTGGCCAGAGGGAAGCTTCTCACACGCCCACTCGCTATTCCAGCTTTAGTTATTTATCTTAAAGGTAGATAATGCACTTGCACAGGTGAGGATCAGGAGCTGAGCAGCCTCTCCCCTCTCCTTGGCGCCCCCTCCCCAGAGGTGCCCTTCATTAGCTCCCGAGGGCCTTCCAGAAAGGTCGGTGTGCGTCACACGTACCTTCCCCTTGCTGTTCGCGTGAATGCGAGGCACACGTGCGCCCTGTCGGGCCCTGCCCACTTCCTGTCGTAACGTGAAACGGACAGCTGCGAGTGTTTCTGTATCTGCGGCTTGTCCACGGTGTGGGCTGTGCTGGAACGTTCCAGCCAGCCTCCCCACGGAAATCTGTCGCAAGTGTGCGTCTTCACACGTGCCACACGCCTCTAGGACGCTCTCCCAGAAGTGGAACCGTCGAGGCAAAGGATTCGCGTACTGACCATCTCGATGGCTCCCACTGGGTTGGAGGAAACTTTAGAAACGGAGAGTCACTGTGTCCCACCCCCCACATGCGCACGTCTCGCCAGGCTCCCCACAGCAGAGCCCGGCGTGTCTCCTCGGCATGGCCTGCAGGGTGCAGCCTCTGCCACCTCCACGCTACTCCCTTTTGCTCCAGCTGGAGTGCGACACCGCGACACTCCCTCCTCATCCTGGGGCCTCACACGGTTCCCTCCGCCGTGCTCTGTGTGCCCCTAGCTCTTCACCTGGCTGGCACCTGCTCACCCATCGGGTCCACCTTAAATGGTGCTGACGTGGGCATCTTCTCTGCCCATGTGGTGTGCCTCTGGTCTCCCCACGAGCCCTTCAGGAAGTGCCATGCTGTTCCTTGGTGCCACATGTTCCAGTGTATTTGCGTTTGGGGCTGTCTTTCCCCTCTGCAACCGGGACTGCACATCACTGGGGAGCAGGAGCCTTCTCGCTGGGGACCCAGCCTCTCCTCTCAGTGCCTCGCCTCTGTTAGGTCACCAGTAAATGTCTGTGGGCTACTGAGGAACTGGGGCTTGGCCCCTGGCCTGAGGACACGTATCAGCAGCGGGTGTGGCGGGATGCCTGCCCTGCGCGCAGCCCTACGGGCGGTCTCGCAGGACTTCTGGGGGCTCTCGCCCAGGCTGTGACTGCGCCATCTCAGACGTGCTTAGTCTGTACCGGCCTCAAGTAAATCCCTGCACCTCTTCCCTAGGAATTACAAAACGATCTAGACCGGGAAACGAGCAGTTTGCAAGAGCTCGAAGCTCAGAAACAAGACGCTCAAGACCGCCTTGACGAAATGGACCAGCAGAAGGCCAAGCTCCGAGACATGCTGAGTGACGTCAGGCAGAAGTGCCAGGACGAGACCCAAATGGTGAGTCGGAGCCGCCTCCTGGGGGCCGGTGCCCCAAGCACGGGGAGGGGCTTCCTGGGGGCTTCTCTAGGCACCTGGTTACCTGGAAACAGAACGCTAAGATGTCCTTTGAGTTTAATAGAGTTGTTTAAAACGTCACATGGAAAAGCGTCCAAGCACTTGAGGCCCAACCTCCAAGTCACCCACTTGTGTTCCTAGAGACCAAGTTGTGTAAGCGAATGCCCTTTGTCCCTGTGAACCTGTGCCCCAAGGACATCCCCTGTGGCCTGTGCCCCACGATATGGGGGTCCCAGGGTGCCTGCCCCCCTCCGCTAGTGTCTCTGCGGCTTGTTACAAACCAGAGAGGCTGCAGCCTCAGCAAACTGTATGGGCACACGCAGCTCCTGGGGACATGCAGGTTGCTCTTGCTTGGTCACATCCCTCCTTCCTCCGAAGCGACCTTCCATCAGTCTCACCGGCATGAGCCTGTCCACCTTTTCCTTTGTGTCTCCTCTTCAGGTGTAGAAAGGGGCCCTTACAAGGAAGCCAGGCGTCCGGGCTTGGGCTCGGTGTCTGCCTTCCTGGGTCAGCGTGTCTGAGAAGTTCAAGAACGTGCACTAGGTTCTTCCCTGGGGTCCCACTTCATCCTGCACTGTGAATCTGTTTCAGATCTCATCACTGAAAACACAAATCCAGTCTCAGGAATCCGACTTAAAGTCCCAGGAAGACGACCTGAACCGGGCCAAGTCCGAGCTGAGCCGGCTGCAGCAGGAGGAAACCCAGCTGGAGCAGAGCATTCAGGCCGGGAAAGTCCAGCTGGAAACCATCATCAAGTCTCTGAAATCCACGCAAGACGAGATCAACCAGGTATTTCTATGGGGGTGGGGTCCCTGCCGCGCGCACAGTTGAAGCCAGGGGTCTTCTGGCGTCTTCTGCCAAACAGAGGGCAGTGCCAGGGACGGTCACGTCGGTGCGTGTGACCAGCGAGCCTTGAGCGTCTGTGCTGCTGCTGGTTTCCTTTACGCTCACCCCCCTCATCTGTGTTAGGGTCTCTTCTCTGGTGGCGCCGGCCTGGGGGTGCGGTGCTAAGAACTGCCCCGTGTGCTCCAGTGTTGACGTTGGCCTGGGGGCAGTTTGCTTTGCCTCAGCTGAGCACACTTCGTCTACAGGGAGCGGGCAGGGCCTGGGTGAGAACATTCATCAACAGCTCATTTGGAGAGAGCCCCGATCTCCAGCCTGGGCCTTGTCAGCAAAAATGTCTTGCCTGATGCACTTTCCTGAGCCCTGTGTGATGCTGGCCATGTCTTTGTTGCGCAGGCAAGAAGCAAGCTCTCCCAGCTGCACGAAAGCCGCCAGGATGCCCACCGGAGCCTCGAGCAGTACGACCAGGCGCTGGACGGGGTCCATGGCGCCAGCCTGACCGACCTGGCCGACCTGAGTGAAGGCGTCTCCCTGGCAGAGAGGGGCGGTTTTGGAGCCATGGTAAAGGTTGAATGAATGCATTACAGTCCCGGGATCCAGTCCCCTGGTGTGCAAAGAGAATGCCCCACCCACTGGATCTGTCCACAGCCAACCTCGGTTCCACCCCAGTGCAGGCTGTTTCTTGTTTCTGCTGCCACTTTGCGTGTTTGCACGCGCCCCGCAGTCCAGTGCGGTGGCTGAGCTCCACCCTGGTGTCCAGAACACAGCCCAAGATAGGCCCAAATCCTTTGCAAAACCTGTTTTTGAAGCCCTCCATCCCCGTGGAAGCATTTACATTGGGCCAACCACCCAAATTCGCAGGGCTTCTCAAACTTAATGGAGGTGAAATTGGATCAGCCTGTTCACTCACTGTGGAAACCCCACGTTCTTCTAATCACTGGGGTCACTGGGGAATCTGCAGGAGCGTGTGTGTTTCCACAGGGAGCACCTTGAAAATCAGGTGTCTCGCTGAAGATCAAGGAAAGTGGCAGGCAGCCCTCCCAGGGCATTGCGGTTCAACTGCGAATTGGGCTCTCTCCTGAAATTGTGGTTGTGTTTAAAACCTCAGCACTTGATTTCAGACCTCTTGACCATGGGAGCGTGATCAGGCCAAGGGCTGGGGGCCATTGGCCTCTTAGATTTCTGTGGGCTAAGGCAGGTGTGACCTCTTCCTCAGACTGTCACCCCCCTTCGTTTACAGCAGAGCCTCCCATTGCAGCCCTGACCCTGGGCATGTGCGGTGTCCGTTTTGCTGGCTGTCGAGCGGGCTTTTGTGCTGTTGAGGGAGCGGATGGACGGGCCGCGGCTGGTCTCGATGTTTCGTGGTGCTCTGTTGCCTTTAACAGCTCACCCCGCGCTGTGACTCGCTCTTCCAGAGCCCCTCTGCTCCTGGCCCTGTTTGCGTCTTGAATTCCTTTTCCTCCCTGTCATGATAATACAGTTTCCCTCTCTCTAAACACCGGACTCACCTCTTTATGTTCATTCCTTGACATGGTTCTTTTCTCAGTAGCCAAGTACTCGGTTTCAGGAATTTACGGGGAAGCACAGGCCTCCCCGGGCTGCTTAGAAGGCGCCTTGGCCAGCTCCTCCGTCTCTCGCCCCGCCCACTCCAGGTGCGTTGCCTCCCTCTGTCCTCCCCAAATACTTTTTTCTCTTGGACTCATGAACAGGTGACTTCCATGTCTGCCGCTGGGCCCGTCATCCGCTTTGTCGTCTTGATTTAAACAGTGAACGTTCATCCTTCATGAATTACATGAAGCCAGAGCTTCGTGCTTTGCTCCTGTTCTCGGTGTGTGTGTTTCTGCCTCACGACCCTGCTCTTATCTCCCCCTCTTGGCGTTGTTCCCCTGGCTCGGCTTTCAGCTTGCCCTGTTCGGGCTCAGGTCAGGGAACAGGTCCCTCTTAAACGCCCCTTTTGTAGGTTTTTTTAAAGATTGATTTCCCTGGAAAAAAGTTGGCAGTGAAGTGGCAATTTGCAAGTAACCAGTGGAGCCCCCCACACAGATTTTTACCTTTCTTGTTATTTTTGATCATCTTTTAAGTGGGGCAGAATTTACATGAGTCAATTACTCTTGGAATGTAGACATCAGATATGTTACATAGGAAGCCAGTGTCTGGAAGAAAAACTATCTTTATCTTGTTGTACAAATACAGTTTTTAAAGCATTTTTTTGGTTTGTTTCCATTTCTTAATAAACACTTTGAAGAGGGTATTTTTTTTTTTTCCCCATTTACTTCTAAACATTTCGGGACTGCTCCAGGACAGAGAGAGAGCTCTCTTAGTTCTCTTTGCCGGGTGAAGGTGGGGGATTTAGGTCCCTTAGAAAAATGTTGCATCTGGAACTTTCTGTGTCTGGACGAGTCTACCCAAGTTACCCAGGTTGTTAAGCTCACACAGTCCAAGAGCCATATTTATTTCTTGTCTGTCATCTGATTATGAGAATTTCGGCCTCTTGCTCAGTCCCCAACCAACCTGGAGTAGAGAAGGTAATATTAATAATAAACCATCCTAGACTTAAATTTCACCGAGAACTTGTCATGAAAGATCGAGTCGGGTTGTCTGTCACATGTAGCCCCAGTGGCATTCCAGAGCCAGTTCTTATTGACTCCCAAAGCCGATTATTAAATAGGAACTCACGAGCTGGTGGTTAAACCTGTGGTCACTTGAAGCCACCACAGTGGGAGTAATTTACACCACAGGAATTGGCAGAAGCTCCGAATCGGGGCTTTTTTCCTCAGGCAGCTGGTTTGCCAGCACAGCCCTGCCCAGCACCATTTACATTGGGCCAACCACCCACATTCGCAGGGAAGGAAGGGAAGGAACATCCCAGACACTTCTTCATGCCCTTTCAGAGTTGCCAGGTCTATTTCTTAAGAAGGGCAGCACTTAAGACTAGTTGCTGAACTTGATCAAGATATTTGACCTCTGTGAGGAGACGTATCCTTCATCCCAGGACTTGTCTGTGTATTTGCATCCCCCAAGTTGGCAGATGGGTCAGTTCTCCTCGGTGTAGTGAAGTTGGTGGCATCTCTGTTTTTTTCCTTTTAGAGACAGGGTCTTGCTCTGTCTCCCAGGCTGGAGTGCGGTGGTATGATTATATCTCTTTGCAGCCTCGAATTCCTGGGCTCAAGTTATCCTCCTGTCTCAGCCTCCCCAGTAGCTTGGACTACAGGTGCATGCCACCACACCCAGCTAACCTTTAAATTTTTTCATAGAGAGGGGGTCTTGCTGTGTTGCCCAGGCTGGCCTCAAGTGATCCTCCTGCCTTAGCTACCATGCCCTGCCCAATGGCATCTTTGTAATGGGGGGAGTCTGGTTTTCTACTGTGAAACTGAGTTGGAATCAAAGCCACCATTAGGTAGCCTAACCACCTGAAAGCCGCCGTGTGTTCTTAAGCTTCCTCTTTGAAGGTGAAGGAGCAATGGTGGCCCCAGCCAGATGATTCCTCCTAAGGAGATTAATAGGCCCCGACTCACTGCAGGAGTCTTGCAGCCAGAGTTCCCAGAATCTCATTCTCTTCTCTGCCAATAGTACACTCATTTGGCAGCCTTCCAATTGATGATTGAAAACACTGAAAGAAAGAAAGGAAAAACCCAACTTGTAAATAAATGTCAGTTAAAAAACTAAACAGAAGCTTCTGCTCTGAGGCCAAGCTATCATTCTTAACTCACCACTTCATTCAGGTCGTGATGCCTCTCTGTCCTCCTTCTGGAACAAATACATCCCTTGCCCCACAGCGCACTCTGGCCCCCTGGCTTCCTTAGATCAGGACTTCTCCGTCCGTGTCTGTGTGTCCGAGACCCTGTCGGACGCTCTGGGCGCGCGCATCTCGCAGTCATCAGCACCGTGACGTCCGTGCAGAATCCCAGCACCGTTTCCAGATGCGGTGCTCTCGGACATCTGCTCTTTACTTTCCTAAGAACCGGCTTGGTTTCCCCACCCTGGGAAGCCCTGTGGTCAGAGGCTCCGGCTAATCTTCCCCAGGTAAGAAAACTGTTCCGTATTCAGCAGAGGGCCGGGACGTTGGCGCGTTCTCCCAGAGCCAGGGCCGGGGAAGAGGCCCCCACGCCGGCTCACGCTCGTTCATAGCCCGGACCGTGGCTTCTCTTAACCTAATCCCTCCGAGAACCGTCCTGTGCCCCTGAGTTGCTGCCCCGGGGCAGTAGCAGCCCCGTTTGGAAACCCCCTCTTGGACCTTTGATGTCATTGCCCCAAACCCTTGTCTGTGTTTTCACGAAAGCCTCAGTGTTTTAATCATTTGGTTTTGGTTGGTTGGAATGCTGGATTGGTCTGCCAGTCCTACGCAAAGGTGACAACATATTTGCCAGATTCAGTGAGGGTGTCATGCTTTTTTCAGTATCACAGTGAAACATCTGTGTTTGCACCGAGGGTGTGTCTTCAGTAACTAAAATACACGGCTTGGTTCTAAACCACGTGCATTGTTCCCATGTATTCTGCAAACCCACCCCTCACAGGGTGTTTTCCATTATAACAATGTGCTCTTCAAAAGTCAATATTTTTTTTCTCCTGGCTTCAAGATGCCTGTTTGTTTCTAGAAACAAGCACCTTTTTTAAAAATGCAAATTACTAATATGCTTTAGTAATTCTAACTGCATGAGTACTCATTTCCTCATAGAGAGTAAACAGCTGGCGTGTTTCTTGGTGTGGAAACTACACTTTGGAATGAGCTGTGTGCTGCAGTTGTTGAGTGGCTGTTTATGTTTTCTTTGTAATATTTCTAAAAACATTACTTTTTTTCTGATTCAATGAATTAAAATTTTTTTTAACTGTGGTAAAATAGACATCAAAATGATCATCGTGACCATCTTTAAGGGTGCAGTTCAGTAGTGTTAAGTATATTCACATTGTCGGGCATCAAGCTCCATGATGTCTTCCCCACCCCAGCCCCTGGCACCACCATTCTGCTTTCTGTCTCTGTGAATCTGACCACTCTAGGGACCTCCTGTGAGTGGAATCACACAGTGTCTGTCTTTTTGTGACTGGTTTAATTCATGTAGCATAAAGTTGTAGCATGTGTCAGACTTTCCTTCCTTTTAAAGGCTGAATAATACTCTGTTGTATGGATGGACCACATTTTGTTTATCCATTCATCCACTGATAGACGTTTGGGTTGTTTCCACTCAATGATTTCTTAATTAACTTTTAATTAATTAGGTAATTTTGAGACAGAGTCTTGTTATGTCACTCTGGCTAGAGTGCAGTGGCCTGATCATAGCTCACAGCAACCTCAGACTCCTGGGTTCAAGTGATCCTCCTACCTTAACTTCCCAAGTGGCTGGGACTGCAGGCATGTGCCACCACACCTGGCTAATTTTTTTTATTATTATTTGTAGAGACAGAGGTCTCGCTGTGTTGCCCAGGCTGGTCTCGAACTCCTGGCCTCAAGCAGTCCTCCCACCTTGGCCTCCCAAAGTGCTGGGATTACAGATGTGAGCCACCTTGCCCAAAGTTTTATTTTATATAGAACAGTTATAGAAAAATTGCAAAGACAGTGCAGAGTTCCCATATTCCCGACACCCAGTTTTCCCTGTTCACATCTTACATGGTACATTTGTCATAACTAATAAACGTGCCTCAAACATTGTTATTTAGTAAAGTCCATACTTCTTCATTTTTTTTTTTTAGTCATTGTTTTTATGGTCATATTACTTAAAATGGAAATGCAAGTTAGATATGGAATTCTGTGCTTTGCTTTAAATCCGAAATAATAAAATCCCTGTCCTGTTTCTTCACAAAATTATAGGACGATCCTTTCAAAAATAAAGCCTTGTTATTTAGCAACAACACACAGGAATTGCATCCGGACCCTTTCCAGGCAGAGGACCCCTTCAAGTCCGACCCATTTAAAGGAGCTGACCCTTTCAAAGGTACCTCGCTTGGCGCCCACTTTCTTGTTGAAAGACTGTTTATTTTATGTCATTTGGAGTTGTTGAATGGCTTGACAAGTGAGGAAGTACCGTGATCTGAATCGGAGGAGGAAAGGAATTCTTGGAGCCTAATTAGCTCCTGAGTTTCTCACCCTGTTAACCACGGAGCTGAGCGTCAGGATGCGGTGGGAAGAGCTGCACGCTCACAGCGGGAGTCCCACGTTTGAGGGCGTCTCGGTCGGCCTTAGACGCTAAACTGCTTCAGTCTCCTAATCCCTCGGCAGGTGAAAAACTCGTCCTTGCCCACCTCGCAGGGCCTATGTGACAGATCCAGTGATGATTGCGAAAGTACCTCGCCAACCACGGATTGCTGTGTGGGCCTCAGGTCTCCAGACTCAGTTTACCCAGAGTCACGGACGAGTCAGGAATTCTAGGAACAAGATTTCCTAACTTCTCGCCATTTTTCAGAGCAAAACAGTATTTCCAAGAAGGTCATCTGTACCTTTCTGAGAAAAATCCGGAGGCAGGGAGAGGGCAGTGGGCGCTCCCTTCAGGTGTCAGATTTGGGGCTGAGGTATCTTGGGTCCGAGAGACGAATCAGGCAGCTCGAAGTGCAAGCGCACTGGCAGCGACGCGTGGGACAGCCCCAGGGACCCACGTTCTCTTTCCGCGGGAGGCGGCAGGCGGTGAGATAAAGGAAACCGGGCATGGAAAGAGAAGTGAAATCTGGCTCGTTCCGCACCTTCCCTGACTCTGGCCCGTGACGAGCAGCCAGTGATACCTTCCGTGCCATGGTGAATGTTCTAGCCAGGAACAGCCGCCTCCAGGCCTCCCACTTTGATACGCTGAAGTTACTGTGGGCAGGGGCTGGTGGAGAAGGAAGGAACATTTGCTCCCTAAATCGGGGGTGGGGAGTAAAGTCAGTGAAAGTCCTGGCAGGTGGGCAGCCACGTCCAGGTGACCCGCCAGGTGCTGTTCCTCCGCCCCAGAACTAATAAGCATTTCCCTCCTCTCCAATCTAGGCGACCCCTTCCAGAATGACCCCTTTGCAGAACAGCAGACAGCTTCAGCAGGTAAAAGCCTTTGTTAAATGTTCCCTGGACTAGTCCTCAGAATACTTCCAGCCCTAGTTCAAGGCGAGGAAAATGGAGAAACACCTCCCAGCCTCCCCCTTCCAGGTTTTCTAAGACACGGTGGCAGGGAGGTTAATTCTGGAAGGAACCTGGGAATAACACTCAGAACTTGCGCAGCAGCTCCCGGGTTGTGCCCACAGCAACTTGGGTTGTGCCCACAGCAACTTGGTCACTTGTGATGAAGTTGCCTGTGTCCAGGTGTCCTGTGCAGTACCCGCACTCGGTGGGACCTCTACACACGCTGGTGGTGATGGCTTCCCCGCTGCCAGTCCAGTCCCCCACTCTGGGGCACTGGAGGGCAACTGTGGGCATAGTTGGTGTTGGGATCACATTGCCTGCTAGTTAGTTCCTTCCTTCTTTCCTTCCTAACTCCCTTCCTTCCCTTCCCTTCCCTTCCCTTCCCCCTTCCTCCTTCCCCCTTCCCCCTTTCCTTTTTCCTTTCTTTCCTTTTCCCTTTCTTTCTTTTTTCTTTTCTTTTCTTTTCTTTCCTTTCCTTTCCTTTCCTTTCTTTCCTTTCTTTTCTTTTCTTTTTTCTTTTCCTTCCTTTTTTTTCTTTTCTTTTCCTTTCCTTTTCTTTTCTTTTCCTTCCTTCCTTTCCTTTCCTTTCATTTCTTTTCCTTCCTTCCTTTTCTTTTCTTTTTTCTTTTCTTTTCTTTTCCTTTTCTTTTCTTTTTTTTTCTTTTCTTTTTTTTTTTTTTATGAGACAGAGTCTCACTCTTTTGCCCAGGCTAGAGTGAGTGCCGTGGCGTCAGCCTAGCTCACAGCAACCTCAAACTCCTGGGCTCAAGCGATCCTCCTGTCTCAGCCTCCCGAGTAGCTGGGACTACAGGCATGCGCCACCATGCCCGGCTAATTTTTTCTATATATTTTTAGTTGTCCAATTAATTTCTTTCTATTTTTTAGTAGAGACGGGGTCTCGTTCTTGCTCAGGCTGGTTTCGAACTCCTGAGCTCAAACAATCCGCCTGCCTCGGCCTCCCAGAGAGCTAGGATTACAGGCGTGAGCCACCGCGCCCAGCCTTTTCTTTCTTTTTTGAGGTGAAATTCACATGACAAAGAATTCACCATTTCAAAGCGTCCCATTCAAGTGGTGTCTAGCACGCCCACAGGTTGCGCAAACACCTCCTCCTCTGGTTCCAGGAGGTTCTCATCCCCCCAAAAGGACAGCACCCTGTCCCCTGTAGCAGTCACTCTCCACTCCCCCAGCCCCTGACAGCCACCAGTCTGCCTTCTGTCTCTACCCGTGGATTGACCGATGTTGTTTATCATTTTAAAATCAGCTTTATTGAGAGGCATAAGTAACACACAACAAAATCTGCCCATTTTAAGCATGTGATGAGATGAGTTTCGACAGATGTGTGCAGTCAGAGAACAGTTCCCTCGTCCCATGTGTTCCCTTGTGCCCCTTTGGCGTCACCTCCCTGCCCCGCCCCAGGCCCCCCAGCCACCGCTGACCTGCTTTCTGTTACTGGGGTTTCTGCCTTTTCTAGAATTTCGTGGAAATGGCACCATTCAGTTATGTGTTCTTTTATGCCCGAGTTCTGTCGCTAAGCATGGTGTTGTTTACTCACGGGCATTTTTCCTTCACTTCCCCAAACCCCTTCCAGATCCGTTCGGAGGGGACCCTTTCAAAGAAAGCGACCCATTCCGTGGCTCCGCCACTGACGACTTCTTCAAGAAACAGACGAAGAACGACCCTTTTACCTCAGACCCGTTCACGAAAAACCCTTCCCTACCCGCGAAGGTGAGTGGGGGGCGTCGCTGGGAGAGCCGAGTGCCCGCTGTGTGCGTGTGAAGGCGGCGCCTCCTGGCAGCCGGCCCCTCTCCGTGGAGCGAGTTCCCGCCATGCTCCCTCCCCACCGGGCTTGTCCCCATGTGAGCTGTGCCGTCTGCTCTGGGGAGCTGGCGTCCCCGGCCCAGCATCACTCCCGGATGGGAGGCGGCCATTGGCTTCATGGCTGTGGAGGCAGGGACTCGTTTGTATGGTCGCCTTTTTAGCCTTTTTTAAAAATGCCTTTAAGACCTGTAGTGAGAATCTGCCTTTCATTCCTGGAATTGGTGATCCGTTTCTCGATTTTGTTGATCCTTTCCATGAACCACGTTTTGGCTTCGTGAATTTTCCCTACTGTTTGTGTTCCGTTTCACTGATTTCTTCTCTCCTGTTGTTTCCTTCCTCCTCCTCGCTTTGGGTTCCCTTTGCTCTTCTAACTTCTTACAATCCAGCCTTCAGCCATGGATGTTAGACTTTGTTTTCTAATATAAAGATGATCCCAAATTTATAGTGGTTCAACTTGAGATGTTTTGACCACAGTGGATTTATTGGGAAGTCACCCCATCATAAGTCAAGCAGCATCTGGACTCATGTTGGTTTGACTTACGATTTTTCAGCTTTACGACGGGTTTATCAGAGCATCAAACGCATTTTCAACTTACAACATTTTCAATTTGCAATGCATTTATGGGGATATAGCCCCACTGTAAATCGAGGAACATCTGTATACATTTAAAACAGCCTGTTTCCCTGCTGTTCTGCTTTAGCTGTATTCCACACATTTTGATACTTTGTATTTTCATTGTCATCCGGTTTTAAGATATTTTCTAATTTCCCCTGTGATTTCTATTTGCCCATGATTATTTAAAAGGTGGTGTGTTTTATTTGCAGATATTTGGCTTTTTTCCCTAGGTATCTTGTAATATCGATTTCTAATTAAATCTGTTATTAGAGAACATATTCTGTGTGTTTTCAGTACTTTTAAATTTATCGAGGTTTGTTGTTTATGGCCTGTGTTGGTGAACATACCGTATACACTTGAGAGGAGTATGTATCTGCAGTTGTCGGGCATAACATTCTATAAATGCCAGTCAGGTTGAGTTGGCTGATAGTGTTCAGATTATCTGTGTCTTTTTGGCTCTACCAATGGCTAAGAGAGGGGTGTTAGAAGCCTCACCTATGATCAAGGAATTATGTTTCCCCCTTTAATTCAGTCAGGTTTTGCTTTGTGTATTTTGAAGCTTTGTGAGGTGCATACACATTTATGATTATTGTGTCTAACTAATGCAACAACCTTTATCATTAGAAAAGGTTCATTTTGATCTCTGATGATATTGTTTGTCTTGAAACCTATTTTATCACTTCATCCTTTTCTGCTTACTGCATGGTATATCTTTTTCCAGACATTTTCAAGCTACTTGGGTCTTTATATTTCGTAGATACCTTTTGTAATTAGCTTATTGTCAGAGGTTGCTTTTTTTTTTTTTTTTAATCTAGCCTGGAAGTCTCTGCCTTTTAAATGGAGTATCTGGTCTATTAGCATTTAATGTAATTATTGATATAGTCAGATTTAAGTCTACTATTTTATTATTTGCTTCCTTTTTTTTTTTTCAGCAGCCTGTTAGAAGCAAATATTTGCTTGCTTTTTATCCCATATTTTGTTTCCTGCCCTCTTTTGGATTATTTGAATATTTTCTAGAATTCCATTTTATTCTGTCTATTGGCTTCTTAATTATTTCAGTTATACCTGTTTTAATTGTTTTTTAGAGGTTGCTTTAGGGATTACCATGTACAGTTTTAACGTTTTATAGTCTACTTGGAGTTAATATTATATTACTTTATGTAAAATGTAGAAAACTTGCAACCATATAGGCTGTTTACCCACCCCCCCATCGGTGTGTCTTATGTTATAGCTGTCATGTGAATGTCATACAACTGAATGTAAACTCCATAAGACAGTGTTATAATTTTTGCTTTAATCCATTGTATGTATTTTAAAGAAATGAAGAGGAAAACAGTCTTTTAATTTTACCCAAATATTTACTGTTTCTAATGTTGTTCATTCTTTTCCAAAGATTGATTTTCCCTCCATTGTCATTTTCCTTCAGCCTAAAGAATTTTCTTTAGCACTTTACGTAGTGCAGGTCAACCGTGTTGCCATTCTTGAAGGATATTTGTGCTCGATACGGTGTTCTTTTTTTCTTTCAGCACTTTTAGGTTGTTTCACTCCTTTTCAGCTTCTACTGTCCTTGATAAGATTTGTCTTTTCAATAGTTGTTCTCTTGTATGTAATGTATTTTTTCTCTGCTTTCAAGATTCTTTTTTTTTTTTTTTGAGACAGAGTCTCGCTCTGTTGCCCTGGGTAGAGTGCAGTGGCGTCATCATAGCTCACAGCAACCTTAAACTCCTGGGCTCAAGTGATCCTCTTGCTTCAGTCTCCCGAGTAGCTGGGACTACAGTTGTGCACCACGACACCTGGCTAAATTTTCTTTTCTTAGTAGAGACTGGTTTTGTTCTTGCTCAGGCTAGTGTTGAACTCCTGAGCTCAAGCCATCCTCCTGCCTCAGCCTCCAAGAGTGCTAGGATTACAGGCTCGAGCCACTGCGCCCGGCCAAGATTCTTTCTTTATCTATGGTTTTTATTAGCTTGTGACATATCTGCATGTGGTTTTCTTTGTATTTATGCTGTTTAGTCTTTGCTGAGCTTCTTGCATCTATAAATTATGTTTTTCACCAAAGTTGGTAAGTTTTCGGCCATTAATTCTTCAAACATTTTTTCCGCCTATTCTATCTCTCTTCTGGGATTCCAGTTACATGTTTGTTAGACCTTTTGTGATTGTCTCACAGGTTCCTGAGGCTCTATTTCTTTTTCTTTTCATTCTTTTTCTTCCTTTTTCTGTAGATCGGGTAATTTCTACTGATCTGTCTTCAACTTCACTTACTCTTTCCTCTGTTATTGGTTGTTTAACCTGGTGAAGTTTTAATTCTAGATATTATACTTTTTCAGTTGTCAAATTTCCATTTGTTTCTTCTGTATAATTTCTGTTTCTCTGCCAAGATCTCCTATCTTTCCATTCATTTTAAGTATATTTTCCTTTTCCTCATTGGGCTCAGTTATAATCACCGCTTTAGAGCTGTCCTCATCTGAGAATTCCAGCATCTGGGTCTGTCGTGGCATCGGCTCCCTTGATGGTCTTTTCCCTTGAAAACCGGCCACATTTTTCTGGTTCTTCGTGTGTTGACTAATTTATAGATGTATCCTGTACATTGCGAGTGCTGCTGTGGAGACTGTGTTCTGTTCCGGTCCTGCAGAGAACATGGCTGGTTTGCTTCAGCAGGCAGACAGCTTGGTGGGCCTCACGCTCAGGCTCTCCCTGGCCTGCCGCCCGCAGACGCTCAAATCCCGGTTTGATTCTTATGGCCGCAGCTGCAGGCCTCTTTGAGTGTAACCACGCACACACGGGGCAGGGCTCAGCCTGAGACGGGGGCAGAGTGTATCAGGGGATTTGGGGGCTCCTATTCTCTGCCACTCCTTTCCGATCCACTCCTCCCTTTCCCACGGCGGTGGTCGTCCCTGGGCCCCATCCTCCGGAGTTCAGGCCAGAAAGGCGGCAAGTTTTCTGTTGTAATCTCAGCTGCCTGCACCGCACCGGGCCACACCGCAGCTGTCTGGCGCCCTCAGGCTATAGCTGTCAAAGTGGAAAACCCAACCTCATACTGTGTTCTGCCAAATTTTAACTCTCCCCCCAAGTCTTCTTGCTTGGGTTCACTTCCCAAGCCTTCAGGTAGTGGCTTCTTTTTTTCTTTATGTTGTCCAGAGTTTACAGGTGTATTATTTGCAGGAGGATTTTACTCCGCCTGGGTTTAGTTTACATCGTTTCACCCTGCCCACGGCCTGGCGCTGGGTATGGCGGGTGTGGACGTCAGGAACGTTTGGTTGCATAAGTGGGTGATGGAACAAACGAACTGCCCCTCACTCTCCTCTCTCCCTGCCCCCAGCTCGACCCCTTTGAGTCCAGCGATCCCTTCTCCTCCTCCAGCGTCTCCTCAAAAGGATCAGGTGAGACCCGCGGCTTATTTTCCTTCCCGACAGTTCCTCGGGCAGTGGCAGAGCAGGCTCAGTTAATGCTTTCGCCTCCACATCCGGCGTGGCCTTGGCGTCGTCATAGTCAGGGGACTCAGATCCTTGCCTGAGAACGCTAGGCCAAAACCAGTACCCTCGGCCGCTGCTCAGCCTCCTGGGTGAGCAGTGGCATCTGTCCAGAAAGGACGTTTGGCAGTAGGAATTCAGTGACGGCACCAGAGTTGCTAGCTGCTGTTAACTCATCCTTCCGTACCAGCCTAGGGTGTGCGTCTTTGGGTTTTCTCCCTAAGAGAATCCAAAGTCCGACCCAGGCTCCTGGCTTGGGCTGTGGGGTCTACGTGTGCAGAAGCCTCACCTCTCCGCCGCGCTCTCGAGCCTGCACACGGCAGGAGCATTTGTAGATCACTCCCAGGCCAACGGGGAAAGTTCAGCAAAAACCTCTACCACGCAGACGATGTCGCTACAAAAATTGTGTGGGCGGTGGGTCGCCCCTGAACTGCCCCTCCCCTCCGTCTCATGCTCCTGCCCTCACCCAGTGGGACAGCGGGCTGTGCCCCTGCGGCACTCTTTTGCCCCTGTGATGACTGGACGACACTGGCCCTCCCAGAGCTGGCTGTCGCGGTGAGAAAGTGCCCCACCGAGATGCAGGAGCCCGGAGGCAGAGCGGGCAGGGAGGCCGCGTTGAGGACCACGCAGGTGCACGTCTCCGGCCAGTGTAGACAGCCTCCCTGATGACCGAGTCAGGAGCCGTTTAGCATTTCCCTTGACCCCAGAAGGTATGTTCTGTTCCAGACCTGTGACTCTGACTTTGTTGGTGCCGATTGCAGATCCCTTTGGAACCTTAGACCCCTTCGGAAGTGGGTCCTTCAACAGTGCCGAGGGCTTTGCCGACTTCAGCCAGATGTCCAAGGTAAAGCCCCTCCCACGGAGCCCCATGCCTCCGTCAGTCTCTTTGTGCCTCTTGTCATGGTGCGGGCTGCCAGGCATAATTGTTAACGTCACGTATGTATTTCCCCCGCACCTCTCAAGCGTGGGGTCTAAGGAAGTGCGCAGGGTCCACAGAGCACCCCTGGCTGCGATCGGACGTGTCTCCCTCCCTCTGGGTGAAACAGCTGTAGTCCCGAAACCCTCCCGGTGGCCGTCTATGCCCGGTTCCCCCAGCTCCTGCCGGCATCTGACGACCATCAGATCACAGGCGACGAAGCTGTCACCGTGGCCAAGTAGGAGCTCACGAAGATGTTGAGAACAGAGGTCCTAGCAGGGGCGCGGCCTGCAGGCCTGAGGCCTCCAGAGGCAGGGGCCAGTGTCTGGAGCCGCCTGTGGGACAGAACTCAGGAGGGGTGTTCACAAATGAGGGCCAGGCCCAGGAACAAATGCGAATAAATTGGCAGGGGAGAAGTGAACTGTTCTAGAAGGACACCAGTCAGGGCCGCTACCAGGCAGGACAGTGTGTGCGTCCAGCCGGCCACACGATTGCGTGAACCGACCGTGGCTTTAGCCCGCATGCTGTTGGGGCTCTTCCTCGAGGGGCTTGGCGGGGCGCTGTAGTTAGGGCCAGATCTGTAACTAGCAAGACGTCTGTCCGTAGTGTCCAAGATGGACCGATCAAGAAATAGCAGTAGAAGCCCATTATTACTGAGGTAAGTTCCGGAAGAACTGCTAAAAAGTCAAAAATGGTCACCTGGTGAGTGAGAATAAAGCCAGGGTGAGGGTCCCCTGTGCTTCGTCGCGAGGCCGTGTGCCCCTCGGTGTCAGTAGTGAGCATGTTTCTCTGATGGGAATTAAGGAAGCAGGTGAGCTGTGCTGTGTCTGGCCACCAGTGCCCGGTCCTGGGACCTGCATCTGCTTCGTCCCTTCTCGGGAGCCCCAGACAAGGAGCCCCTGGGGGGCCACAGCCGGGGCCCTGCTTCCCCCACACATTCCGCCGATTTTTACTGAGTGCTTGCTGAGGCCCAGGTGCTATCAGCACCAGGGGGAGGCGGTGGCCACGAGCAGAGCACAGTCCCACGTCCCAGGTGGTGAGGGGGCCCGGGATAGCCGGACCCATCCTCTGTGGGTGCTGTCGTCAGCCTGAAGGCGGGGACAGCAGGGAGCCCCGCGAGTACGTGGAACGTGAGCACCCCAGGTGCGGAGTCCCCCCAGCCGCTGCCAGCCCCCACACCCGGGTGCCCCAAGGTGCCAGCTTCCTGGGGCTTCCTGCCTCGTTTGTGCCGCGTTCGCTCAGCCAACAGAGCAAACAGTTCCCTGGGTGCCTTGTGGTTGGCAGCGGTAGCAACGTGTGATTGATTGTGGTGCACGGCTTCTGAGAAACTCTTGAGGCTCTGTTCAGGTTTTCAGAGAAGCACGCTAGCTGGCGTACCCGGCGGAGCAGCGACTCCGCTTCTGGCCGGGAGAGAATGTCTGTTCACACTCACCGGCCGGGCGGAGGGGCCCAGAGGCGCTGGTGTGGGGGCCCCTCTCCTTTCAGCACACGGAGAAGCCCTGCGTCCCACATTGACAGCCGCGGCACTGCTTGGGAGGGCCCGAGGGCTGCAGGGCGCGAGAGTTCTCTCGAGGGTGGCTCATCCCCAGCAGCGGAAGGCATACGCTCCCGAGCAGGCGGGAAACCGGCTCCTGAAATCAGAAACGTCTGCCACACGGTGGCAGCAATCCCAAAGGCAGGGCCGGGGCTGTCTTCTCTGGCTGTCACATGCAGGAGGCAGAGGGCTTCAGATCCTCCCTCCTCCATCCTCCTCACTGTCAGCACCAGGCCATGTCACCCAGAGTGGCCGGAGCTGGGACAAGGATGAGAGAAAACTTCCAGGGGGCTGCTTTGCACGAGTGAGGACCCCTGTGTCAAACAGTGGCAGAGCAGAGGCTGCGTGGGTGTTGCAGGGACAGGGTGGCCAGCCTACAGCCCCGACCCTCAGCCCTGGACAGCAGGAATGGCCCTCCCAGCTCCAGCAGGCCTAGGCCACCCGGTTCTCGCTCCCCGCCAGCGCGGCACTGTGTCCCCCAGACCCTGCGTTTCCCAGAGCTTCCGTGTCTTCCCCGAGTGAGACGCTTCAGAGCCTGGCCCTTCCCTGTTTTCCTGCCTGTCCTAACCCAAGTTGCATTTTCCCCCTTCGGATGACCTCCCTCTCCCCGTCCTCGTGCCCCGAGATCAGGCTGTTCACACACGTGCGGTTGTGATTTGAGGGCCAGTCCCACTTCCTGTGCGGGGCGCCGGGCCAGAACGGAGTTGGATGGGGCCGTGGAAAATTGGTCTCCAATACTCTATTGTTTGTTTGCGCCGTCCACTCGCTCCTGCTGTCGTGACACTTGGACAGCTGGATACCCAGCGCAGTGTGACCTGGAAGCTTTGTTTTTCCCGCCCGGTTACCTTTCTGTTTTTCAAGAACAACATCATGTATATAAATAAAATGCTGAAGGAAACGAAAGTAAAGTGACGAGAAGGTGTTTTTTGGCTTTTTATTTATTTATTTATTTTAAACATTGCCACCTTTTCCCCTGTGCTGGGCTTGCTGAGGAGAGTAGCCAGCAGCGATCTGATTCCAGTGGGTTCCTCTGGGAGGCCCTCAGGCCTGCACGCTTAGTTGAGGCCCCTCCACCCCCACCTGGAGAGATTTCTCTAGATAGTATTGGGCCTAAATGACACCAGCTTGCTTTAAAAGCCAGTTCCCCAAAATATATTTTTGGGGAGCATTCGAGAATAAAAACAAGAGTCTAACTTACTTATTTCACACCTCCTGCCCCGAAGAAAGCCATCTATGAAATACTTTGCTTTTCAGCCCATTTTTAGCAACTTTCCAATCACTTTTTAAAGCCGTGCGTTCGTACTTAGGGCTGCTGTTGGAAAGGTCACCGTTTTCTCTGAGCCAGTTCTTTAAACAGTGAACCCAAACCTATGTCTCTCAGAGCCGGTTTTCATAGTGGCTTTTCTGTCTGTCTTTTATTTTAAGCACACTCACTCTTGCCGAGCCCCTGACAGCTTTACTGAAACCTTTCTAAAAATAGCAACTTTCCTTGAAGCTGCTGCCCGAGTAGGAAAGAATTGAGTCCCCAAGGAGACGTCTTGGGAAATGTGAAGTCATGAAAATTGGGATTCGGAAATGACGCGGGCGTTTTGGCGTTAGGAGCGATAGAGTTCACCGATGAGGGGGTGCCAGGCGCTTACGGTTGGAACCCTGGCATCTGCAAGGAGCCGATTGGCCCCTCGGCTTCAAATGGAAGTGGGAGGCGCTGGGCCTGCTTGGCCTGAGATGTCCCCGGTCGGCCTGGGGGATGAGGCGGCTCGGGTTTGAGCGCATCACCAGGTCTCACAACTCGGGACTTCAGGCCAAGCGTAGCCTTAGAGCCCAGGTCCTGCCACACGACCCAGAGGATGGAAAGGCCTCCCGTGGTCCTCGGGGCCGAGGGCTCGATTTGAGTGGGCAGACACAGCCCAGAAGGCAGTGTGTACCGAGGGTGGACGAAGAGCCACAGAGAGGTTGCCCCCTCCGTGCGCCTTCCCCTGAGTGCCAGGATGAGGGCTGGGATCCACGCGGGGGCTCACCCTAGTCCTGCCGCCTCTCTGCTAAGTGGTTTCCATTCCTGCCTGCCCAGCTCAAGTTGTGCAGACAAGGCAGGTGCAGTGGCTCACACCTGTAATCCCAGTATTTGGGGAGACTTATGGAGGATAATTGCTTGAGGCTGGGAGTTTAAGACCAGCCTGGGCAACATAGCAAGACCCCATTAAAAAAAATTTTTTTTTTTTTTAATTAGCTGGGAGTGGTAGTGCGCATCTGTAATCCCAGCTGGTCAGGAGGCTGAGGCGGGAGGATCGCCTGAGCCCAGGAGTTTGAGGCTGCAGTGAGTTATGATCGCATCACTGCGTTCTAGCCTGGGAGACAGAACAAGACCCCATTTCTTAAAAAAAAAGTTGTGGGGAGAACCACACGCACCCTAGGCCTGGGGATGCATTCCATGAACAGCAGAAGCACTAGCAGACCGGCCAACGTTCCCTCTACCTGTCTCCTCTGCCCACAGCCCGTTCTTTGACAAACACAGACCCTGAGCGGCTCATTCTAAAGCTCCTCGAGTCTGACCACAAACTTGGTGTGATAATCACTGTACCATCTGTGTGCTGTCTGGGTGCCAGTGGACAGATGCTTGTTACATGTCCCCTCCTTTTTTTTTGTTGCCACAGCCCTAAGAGCAAGGATCTGTCCTTCTTGTCAGTTTACAGATGAGGAAACTGAGGCACAGAGTGGACCGTGCTGGTGGTGGCCGGGCTGGGATTCCGGCCCAGGCAGGGGCTCTAGACTCTGCCTCTGACCACCGGGCTCTGCAGCCAGACGGGGCAGATGTTCCAGAAACTTGAGCGACAGGCTTTGAAAAGAGACTTGCTGGCGTTTGCGCTTAAAGGGCCAACTGTCGGCAGAGTGTGATGGAGGAAGGCACCCGCTCACCTTGCCGCGGCCCTGCCCGGCCCCGGCGGCCCTTCTCCCTGGGAGCTTCCTAGCTGACCAAGCCGGTCTTGGTGGGGACGTGGGTCTGGGGGCTCGCGGGCCCCATGTTCCTTAGGAGGAAGTGCCTTCTTCCTCCCTCTGACCCTTCAGCCAGCTCTGTCTCTTGCCTGCGCCTGTGGGTGTCACCTCTACAGGCCTGAGGCAGGGACGGTCTGCCCAGGATGTGTCTCCAGACTCACCCTTGGGGCAGCCACCCGTGGCTGAGGGCAGCGTCCAGAAGCCCTGGCCTGGGAGGCAGAGGGTGTGGGGTCCAGCCCTGGAGCCACTGCCAACGTGCTGTGTGATTTGGGCAGGCCACGACCCCTTTCTGTGCCTCAGTTTCCCTGTGTGTAAAGCAGAGGTGCTGGCAGTAGGGCTCCCTCCCAAGGCCACTGGCTAGAGAAGGTGAGCAGATCAGCGCGCAGTGAGCGTTTCCCACCTGGGCGGCTCCGGAGAGCCGAGCAGGGCCCAGGGCCGCCGGGTGGGCGGCTGTGTGTGCAAAAGCCCTTCCAGCCCCTCCTCCCTGTGGGCCCCGCCTCTCCCCTGCTGCGGGACCCGGGCGTGGGGAGGGGTGGCTGCCTCTTACAGCGGGGCCTTGTCCCTGACGCGGCTCGGCGTGACTCTGCGACTAGACGCTAGAGGCCAAGGTGGCCGAGACTCTGGGACTCGTCGCGGGAGGTGGGGTTGGCCCCTCCCCGCTCCCCCAGCAGTCTCTGGGGGCCCAGTTATCTAAGGGAACCCCTTGAATGTGCCTTTGTGTCCTGCTTTGTTCTGTCTCTCGCCCTGCCCTGCTGGGGGGGACAGTTAAAGCCCCCCCCCCACTCCTCCATCTCTCACCGTGGCCCCGTCCCCACCCCAGGACCCGCCCTCTTTGTCGTTGTTTTCTTTTCCTCCCCCCAATAGAAAGTGATTTTCTCCCTCCTGGGGCACCCCCACCCCTTTCCTCAGGCACCTGAGTTGCGGCTCAGCCTCATGCCCTTCACTTTGCACTCAGGGAAACTGAGGCACAGCGGAGTTCATGTGTGCTACTGCTTGAGGTGAGGGGCAGGTGTCCCCATGGGAGGTGACATTCAGTGGCATGTGCTGACCCTGTCCACTGCCCCAGAGGAGGGACCCGCGCTTGCCCTCCAGGTGGGAGAGGACTGGAAGCTGGTCACAATGGCGCGGTGACTCGTGCCCCACTGGGTGACAATATGGTGTCCAAGCAGGCGTGGATGGCAGGAAGGGGCCCCAGGGCGAGCCCCGGGACGGGAGAGGGCACCCGCCAGCGTCTGAGGAAGGAGACGGGCTCCCCAGCGGGAGACCCGTGTGCACAGGGCCCAGAAATGTGGGGCTGAGTGAGCGTCCGGGGGTCACAAGAGGGTCCAGGGACTAACCGGAGCTACCTGCAGGCGTGGGCCATCCAGGGCTACCTGCCTACCTAGGTATCATCTCTGCGTATCGACCTCTGCCTGCCTGTCCCCCCCACCCCTTCACCGCCTCCCTACCCCTCCTTCCATCCACTCGCCCCCCACTCCTTCCTCCACTCGTCCATGCATACGCCCGTCTGCCCGTCCTCGTCCTCCTCGTCCTCCCCGTCCCCCACGCCGCCACTCCGCTGTCTATAACCGTCTCCAACTGTCCAACTGCTTAAAGCTGGGGTGACGTGATCCGGTTTGGGTTTGAGGCAGTAGGTGTGGGGTGAGCAGGTGCGGGGTGGAGGAGGCTGCTGGGGGGCCCAGGCAGAGGTGGTCAGAGTCCAATGGGGGTGGCGTGGCTGTGCCGATGGGTGGGGGTGGGCCGGGCATGCGACCTGGGTCACCCGTGGGAAGCGGCATGTGGGCAGCCCAGGGGCGAGGACGGGGGTCTGGTGCCAGCGCCTGGAGCTGCCTGTCACTATCCAGAGGCAGTGACCACGTCTGCCTGCTCAGCCGGGAGGCGGCGTCACACTGGGGTCCGCGCCGAGCACCGCGGTGGGTACAGGGTAAGGGTGGGGTGCGTCTCTGGAGTGTGAGCAGGAGGCCCAGGGGACCCTGTGTGCCGAGTCCTGGAGTCAGGAAAGACCCCAGCCCCACCACTCCCCCTGTGCAGGGGGGATGGCAAGCGTGGCCAGGGGCGCCCTCCTGGGACGGGAGCCCCTCAGGGGACAGGGCCGCTGTGTGTCAGGCACCTCGCCCCTCACAGGCCACAGGGCCCTGCTGCTGCGGGTGGCGGGAAGCAGGGACCTTTCTAGAGACCCTGGGTGCGAGCAGGGCCCTGCCGTGCAGCCTGGAGGGTTGGAGGCCTCGCCAGGGGCCTCAGGGCGTGAGCGTCTGCTCGGAGGACGTCCGTTGCCTTCGTTTTAACGACTGTTTTTGCCTCTGTTTCGTGTCCTCTCTTACAGCCCCCAACTTCTGGCCCTTTCACCTCCTCCTTGGGAGGGGCAGGATTCTCAGATGACCCCTTTAAAAGTAAACAGGACACTCCTGCTCTGCCTCCGAAGAAACCCGCTCCTCCACGGCCTAAGCCGCCCAGCGGTCAGTACGCTTTCTTCTCTCGCTGCCGCCGCCCGCCGATGCAGAACAGCGGGGGGACACAGGGCCCCCCATTCACTAGCTCAGAGTAGAAGCAGATGCCCTGGGGTTCTGCACGCTGAGCAAGAGGGTCTCCCCAGCACCTCCCGCCTGCCCGCCCTCGCCCCCATCCCTGGGCCCCTTGGCTCCGGGCTCTATGCTGGGGTCTAGAAAGCCCAGGCCTTAGAACCCTCCTTGTGGCCCCTGCCCAAGCATGTTAGTGCCACCCTGGCTACACCTCAGGAAGCACCACGGGCCTCAGCCCCCGGGCAGCTCTGGCCCCTTCCTTTACCCCCAACACTCTGGGAGGGCCTGGAGTGGGGACGGCAGCAGAGGCCGCCTGCTCGGTCCAGCCCTCCCTGGCTGGTTAAGGACTCGGGCTGGCAAGGCGGGGAGTCCTCCCCGGCTGTGTTCGGTGCAAGAAGAGGCAGGATGGCGCGGGCCTCCCCGCAGCCCCGCGTCTGGGCACAGTTCCGAGCAAGGTCTTCCTGCAGACCCTGCCTGGCCTCTCAGTGGCTGGTGCTGCTGGTCTCCCAGCCTTGGCCCTTGGCTCTGCTCTCGGGAGAGGGTCGAGCGTGCCCCTGAGGATTCTGAGGACTTTTAACTCACGCGTGGGTTTTCTCTGTGTGCTAGAGATAGGCTGGCAGGCCTGTTTCCCAGATTCTCGGGCAGAAAGCTGTTGCTTCTCGTGGCAGAAGCAGTCACTACGGTCCTCCAATCTGTGTACCCCGCCCCCTCATTGCCTGTTTCATCCAGGCCTGGCCTGGGACTTCCCTTCTGCTCTCTAGTCTCCAGGCAAGTCTCACCTGCACTGTCTCTGGGTTGCAGGTGGCCACAGGAGGCCCACACACCCCCTTGGTCGTGCCTTCTGTTACCCGGTTTCCCTAGACAGGTGTGCCCCCTTGCAGCCCCACCTCCTCTGAGGGGGCGGGGCGCTCACCTTCCAGCCTGCACGTGCTCCTCCCCTTGAATCTGCCCAGTGGGCTCCACGTCGTGGCTCCGTCATCGTTGCAGTCCTTGAGCGGAGGCAGCAGGCTCCCCTTGCACCCAGCTCCACGGTTATTAATACCAGCGATCCTCCCTCCTCCATGTGGGCCACCTGTCAGCAGGGACGAGCAGAGGGGAAGTTGTTTTAAAAACACTGGCCAGGCGCAGTGGCTCACGCCTGTAATCCCAGCACTTTGGGAGGCTGGGGCAGGAGGATCACTTGAGGCCAGGAGTTCGAGACCAGCCTGAACAACATAATGAGACCCTGTCTCTAAAAAAAATGAAAAATATTAGCCAGGCGTGTTGGTGCACGCCTATATTCCCAGCGACTCAGAAAGCTGAGGCAGGAGGATTGCTTGGGCCCAGGAGTTCGAGGCTGCAGTGACCTATGATTGCACCACTGCACTCCAGCCTGGGTGACAGAGCGAGACCCTGTCTCTACAAAAAAATCCAACCAAACAAAAAAACCCACTGCCTCTCCTGTCCTGTTACCTGGCCTGGCCTTCTTTTGGGAGGACAGTGAAGCAGCCTGCAGTGCTCAGGTCAGCTTCCTTGTTGATGAGTCATGAAAGAAAGTATGACCAATGGGCTGTGCAGATTTAGAGCAGACTGTCTGCGAACCGTGAGCAGATAACAGATGGGTAAAGAGATCATTTCTGTAAGCCACACATCAAAGGCAATTACCATACAATGGAGGAAAAACAAACAGCACAGGAATTCCCTTCCATCCGAGAGAGGCCACCTGCACCTTACATAGAGCAGTGGCTCTTAGGGGACCCTTGTCGGTCTCCTGATGGGTGGCATGGGGCCTGCTCATTCTGTTCGAAAGACAGGAGCAAAAGCACACATGCACACACGTGTGCACACACATGCATGCCCACATGCACACGCACCT